TATATTATATATATTTTATTTACCATTAAAATTTTTTATGATACAGAAAATATCGTCATTTTAAACAAATTACTAAATTAATATAAACTACCTAATTGATGAATCATTTTTAATTATAAATATAGCCCATTCAGTTAAATTTTTTTTCGTTCATGCTAATGGGCTATTTCTGAGAGTTGTTCCTTTTCTTAATTTGCTCATAAATTTTGTATCTATATCAGTTTATTGTAGATCTAAGGTCATTTCTATCGAAGAAATATACATAAATATATCTTAAGCTATTCCAAAAAATTCACTTACACATTATTTTATTTTATGATTCAAAATTAATTGAAACTTTTAATAATTGTTTGAATTTTCTGTTAAACTGAATGATGAAATATAAAATAATAAAAATTTTGTTAGCTATTTAAACAGTTTAAAGATTCTTAATAAGGATAACTTGGATTTAATGTGTAACCATCATTAATCAAATTAAATTTTGGTAGAAATTCCATTAATTATTAATAAATATAGATAAAATAATAGAAGATCATTATAAAATTGTAAAATAAAATACTTAATTTAAAATTTATTTGTAAAAATTTTTTAAAAATCGATAAACCTATCAATATTTTGATAGTTTGCTTCAATTTAAATTTAAGTTATCAAAATCTGATAATGAAATCTTAAAAAATAAAAAAAGTATGATTATAATGAAGATGTAATAAAAAAGAGTCTGATTAAAAAAATATATAAATACAAAATAATGGTTTGAATAATTCGATAATTATCTCCTTAAAGCTTAGAAGATATGTTTTTTCCTTGGCATCACTAAAGTAGGGAAAACTACATTATTAAATATATTGAATGATTATGATAATTTTGTAATTAATCAAGATAAGTAATTAAATGTAAAAAGTTTTGAATTAATAAAGTCCAATAATCATTTTAGCAATAGTGCTACATACACAATTTAAGAAATAGAGATTGAAGATTTTATATTTTTTGATTCACCATAATTATGTGATACTTGTGAAAGAGAAAGAAGGATAAATCATTACACAATTCTTTATTCAATATCCTCAATAAATCATACTTAAATTTTATCTAAGAAAAATAAATCTATGTTATTACTTTTAATTGATGCAGAATATCTTTTAACTAGCAAAAATGCTCTCATTGATTCTATAAATAATATAAATTTATATTTAGAAATAAATAGATGAATCTGTTTCTGTAAATTTGTTTTTCCTGTTTTTACAAAATTAAAAATGATACTATACTATAGTACTTCTTATAGACTATACTATGCTATACTATGAAATAGATAAAAGATTAATGAAAATCTGAAACTATGAAAGATATAATAGATAAATTTTAATTAATGATCTTAAATATATAAATAAAATGCAATAAAATTACATACTAATTTAATTATGCAAAAACGTATGATATCAAATATTAAGAAAAGTAATTGAAAGGAGAAATTAATTATTTAAATTAAAAAGTCACTCCTTTTTAATCAACATAATTAATGGCATAATTAAAAGTAGAACTAAATTATAAAATTTAGGAAAGAATAATTTATCATAAAAAATTGCAAGATAAAAAATGATCTTTCAGAAAAATGTTAGAAAATAGCAAGTAATTATTATATCTAAATTAAATCATTCCCTTTTAAATTACAATTATAATTTAATTATAGTTTTTAAATAAACTATAAATCTTGATAAGCAACAAAATTTAAAAAGTTATTACCACACTTTATAAATTTTTATTAGATTACGAATGACTTCATAATTAAAATTTTTTATGATGGCTTTGTTAAACTAGACTTAAACTCTAGTGAATTATGTAAATAAGAGGAATAATACTTTAAAATATTAAAAGATCTTCCAAAACAAATGATAAGTGAACAAGAAAAGTCATCGTTTCTGGAATAGGAAAAGTTCATAATTTTTATATCGACTATTGTTTAAGAAGATGAATATTAAATATATATATTTTAACATATATAATCATTTTACCATCTAAAAAATAAACACATACAGTAAAATTATTATACATAAAACCAATTAAAATTTTTAATTTGATTAATTAGAAATGAAAATTGGCATTTTATTTGAAGCTACAATCTAATTGGTAACAATAGTGATAATTAAGTAACCAATTTTTAGAATATAAATTTAGGAAAAAGAAAAGAAAATGGAATATTTAGAAATAAAGCACCAATAGAATAAATATGGGTTAATTTTCTTAAATATTATTGAATATTAACTAGAGGATAAAGGAAATTATTTATAATTATGAATTCATGTAGATATTGTAATAGAAGGACTTATTGGGGAAAAAATAATGATGAAGAAGTTTGAAACTGGAAATTGGATAGATAAAGCAAGCATATGATTTTTATTGTATATATATTTTATTTCTGATATTTATATTTAAGATTAAAGAAATTCTAAATAATTTAAAGAATTTTGTTTTATTTTGTTATAATTAATGATCTTGTGTCTTAATGTCACAAATATTCGTATTTTTTTTATCTTTATGCCACTTATAATGATAAAAAAATAGTTTTATATTATTACCAAAAAAATAATAATTTATTTCGGTTTTTATGGTTCAGGTAATTTAATAAAAATTTGTTGTTAGAACAATTAACGGATTTATTAAGTGATTTAACTGCAAATTTTTATATACCAAACTTTTTTTTGGATGCTACTTTCTTATTCAAATTATAATATCTTTTGTTACTTTATATTTCTTTATTATTATAAATTGAATTAGTTCTTATTTCAATTTTCAAAATCAACCTTTATCATATTGCTGCTTTTGAGAAAAACTAGAAAAAAATTATATTTTTATTAATTAAATTTTTATACTTTTAGGAGTAAGTTAAGCTTTTTAAAAATGAATAGAAGCTAATTTGAAATGAAAAAATAAAATCTAATAAGGATGATAACTTATAGAAAAACATCTATAAAATTATAATCAAAATGTATTATATTTTCTTGAAAAAAGAAATTAAAAAATCTATATATTTTTTTAGATTGCTTTACAATCCTTTTTCTTAATCTTAAAAACCCTTTTATAAAAAATTATTAGACGCATAGAGATTGCTATATCTTATTTTTTGTTACTTCTATTGTTAAGAATTAATTTCTATCCTCAATATAAAATATCAAACTACATATTTTGAAATTAACTATTTTAAAAAATACTGTCTATTTTTTATAAAAGAGAACTCTTTAAAATATTTTATTAATTATCTGTTATTAAGACTTTAATTATTAATTAATATTTTTTTGATTTTGATTTATAAAATCAATTATAAATATTTGCAAAAAATGCATTTACTTCTTTTAACTTTAAAAATAATTACAAGAATCTTATTAATACACCATTTAATATAAATCTATAATAAATATTAATATGAATTGGAGAGATGTAAATTAAAAATCATAAATTTGTATTTTTGAGATATGGTATTGATTTCTATTTAAATATAATTAATAGAATTAGAAATATATTAATAAAAATAATGAATTAAATTTAAGATTTGTAGATAAAGTGTTCAAATAAAAAACATGATTGTATTGTCTAGTTGGCTTGTTTTAATGAATGTTGTAATGCGAATAGAATTTATTGTTTTGAATGTTTAAGATTAGGAGATCATATAGCTCATCCAAATGATTAATATGATTGGAAAAAAATATTTTAAGTTATAGAACAAATCAGATAATAAAGTGATGAATTAATTAAATAATTAACTTCAAGTATTGAAAAAATTTAGAAATCGTTTTCACTTTTATGTTAAGCATTAAAATCAAAATATTAATTATCAAAAGAATAAATCTAAAAATTTGAAATAAATTAATTTAATTAAGCCTTGGATAATATGCTAAAATATAATCGAATAGCTTAAGGAATATAATTAGATATAGAGTAATGTTCAAATGATACATTCATATAAATTAATAAAATTATAACAGAATTAAAACTAAATGAATTAATTTATTATAAACTAAATGACTAATAAATAGTATAAGCTGAAGAATTTTTCTAAAAAGGTAAAAAATTAATAAATCTAGGATTTAAATTATACTCTGATGATAAATATAAAGAAGCTATAGATTATTTAGATTAAACATTATTGATTAATCCAAATCATATATTAGCATTATAGTTTAAAGGTAAAATATATTATATACAAATTTTAGCTTTTTCTTTAAGATTGCTTGGCAAATATAACGATGCAATTATTTGGGCTGATAGAATATTATTAATAGATTCAAGCCATATTGACTTATTATATTTAAAAGGTAAAAAATATTATATAACAATCTAATTTTAAGGTTGGTGCTTACAAGCTTTATTTAAATATTCTGAAGCCATTTCTTATTACGATAAAGTGATTTAATTTGATCCTAATTTCTTTGATGTTAAATTATTAAAAAGTATTTTATATTTTATTATAAAGCTCAATGTGAAAAAAAATTAAGTTAAGATTGATATCAAATATGAACATATATTTACTATTTAAAAACAATAGTTATTAGATAATTATCCTTTAAATTCTTATCTTTTCTAATATGTTTATCTAAGTATTTCAGATTCTTTTAAAAGCTATTTATTCTTAATTATAATTATATTTAAGTCAAGTAAACAAAATACTCTTCATTTTCTTAAAAAAATTTTACTTTCAAATTATGATTGTGATTTATTGATCTAATAAATTTGCTATAGTATAAAAGTAATCTTTTAATAGAATTATTATTTTCTGTAATGAAAAATTCTAAAAAAATAATCTAAAGTTAAAGAAAACTAAAGTTATCCTTTAATAATAAATAAATTTCAACATTAAAATAACTATTCATAATTATTTTGTTTTAGTATTAGTTTGAGGAAAAAAGTTTTGAAATGATATTATAAATATATTTTTCAATTTTAGAGGTTTAATTAATTCAAAGTAATTTTAATTAATTTATCAAGCTAAATATTTCGAAAATTAAGATGTCTCACATAGAATTTAAACTATAACTCCTACATAAAAAATAAGAAAATAGTAAGTTTTCCTTTAAGTTCTAACTTACAAGTGTCAATAAAATCTTTAATATAATCAGTTTTTTTACTAGAACGAAAAGAATTTTACCATTTAGCACAAATTGTGATTTTCTCAACATTCATTAATTTGCTAAATAGATTACTAGATAATATATAAATGATTTGTAATTTCTTTTGCAAAATCAATTTTTCTTAAAATAATATCCTCATAAAAAAAAATCTGTTTAGCTTCATTATAGTTTAATAAGTTTTATTTAATTATCAGCCAAAATATTATCTTGAAAATTTTATTACTCTATTCTTTTCCTTTATTCTTGCATATTTCAGATTGACATTTTAAATATTCACTTTTCAGTTAGTCAGATAGATAGTAATCTTTTAAATTGAAGAGCGTGGTAATATTTTTTAACATTTAAAAAAAATGTAAAGCTGTAAATTGATTTTAAAATTCATATTCCCTTTATAGATGAAACAGTCGAGTTTTTGGTTTTCAAGGGGGTGGTATGCTTATAAAATTTATAATTTATAAATTTTTTTATCATTTTACTTAAATTTCTTGAGTTCCTAAAGACTCAATTTTTGGAAAAATTTAATTATTTTTCCAAAAACAGATGAAATAAAAAAGCTAAAATTCTAGAAAATAGATTGTTTCATCTATTAAATAAGTATTTAATAGTGATAAATAAGTATTTAATAGTGATAATTTTAATTCAATATCATAGAATAGATAACCTCTTTTTTATTCAATATTTATTTTTATTCATATATTTATTAACTCAAATTTATAAATCAAATTTTGTAAGCAATAATCTAATTAAATTGATTGTTAAATTTAAATTCATTTAAGATTTTAAAATATTTTTTAATTCTCACAAGAATCAAACCTAAATTTTTGAATACTTAATATAATATCAGTAAAAGCAATATACATTAAGACATTAAAGAAATAACGCAGTCAGTTTAAATTTAAATTAAGGTTGTTTAAATGTGTTCTTAACATATATATTAATATTTTCTAAAAATTTGAAATTGTTTTTTATTTCATTGTTGTTTATAGCTGATTTAAAATTTATAAATTTTTCCCATATTTTAAATGAGTGCTATGAAATTAATTAGGCCAAAGCAGAATTTCTGAAATTTCAAGCTTTATTTCTAAAAATTATATTTTATATATTTAATAAAATTATAGAAAATGATTAAATTTTTTTAATTTGCAGATTTTATGTTAAATTATCTAAGTTAAGACTTAAGAATTATGATAATTAAATTGATGATTGATATTATCAATTTAAATTTTTTTCTTTCTTTTTAAATCAGCCCTAAATTTAATTAATTTTAAAGATGATGATGCTTCATGAAATCAAATTTAATTATTTTGCATTTAATCCCTTACTGTTATTAATTTCCTATTATTCATATAGTTTCTTCTGCTCATATTAAAATTTCTGATTATAAAAAAAACTATTTAAACTCAAATTTTGATTTCTTTTATTGTTCTTGTTTATAGATATCTGATCTTTTAAGAATGAATTATGCTTTTTAATTAGTTAATATCCAAACTCAGAAATTTATCTGGTTATTCAAGTTAGTGTACATACTTGAGATTCATAAATTATTAATAATAAAAATTACTAAATTAATAGTGTTTTATGGGAAATTATCTTTATTAATAAATTTCATATATATAATTTTGTTTTTAATATTTTCCTTTATAGATCGGAGGCAATTTTCATTCAATTAAAATGGAATCAAATTAACTCCATTCTTGTTTTTGTTATTTTTTTTTATTTAATTAAGAAACTATTCATTTAAAATAAATATAATTTATTGAATCAATTAATCTAAATTTAAATTCATGTTTATAAAGGGAATCTTTAATATTATGTTGAATTCAAAGATTATCATTTGAATGCTTATATGAAATTGTAATGAATCTTGAAATTGTTAGAAAGTTAAAAAAGAAAGTAAATAGGAAAAACATGTTATTATTAGGGGAAACATAATATTTCTATTCAATTAAGTCTTAACTCTTTACAAATATAAACTAAACAAACTTAAAACACTATTTTAAATTATACTCATTTGTTTATTTAAATGGATTTTATAGACAAATCCGAAATTTATATGAAGTTTAATTTTAAAAATCAATTTACTTGTCAGAGTTTCTTCGATTTTAATAAAATTAGTTTAAGTTTAAATATTAATATATATATGTTTCTTTATTTTATTTAATTATGTCTTTTTATCTATAAAAAAGGCTTTAATTAGTATAATTATTGAGGAAAGAAATTGAATTGTATTTAAATAAATGAATCTCAATTATATTTTAAAATCATTTTCTTTATATTTTTGATTTAAAAAATGAAGATACCCATATTTGATTGATAACAAGATTTAAGATGATTTATTTGATGAATAAATAATTAAAATAATATTATCATAGATCCTAAAATAACAAAATGATAAAAATTGTTTTTTATTTCAATAGTTTTAATGCTTTTAGGAAAATATATATAATAATAATTGTATGCTAATAATATCAACATTGTTTTAGAAGCTGTACATAAATTGAATTGGATATGGCTTTGAAATGAAGAGGATTTAATAATAAAAGTAATTCTAACTATAATGTAAAATTTGTTTTATAAATAAATTTTAAATATTTTAATAAAAGGTTGCATGATGATTTTTGTATGTTTGAAAAATGTTATATAAAGATAAGAAGAGAAAAAATAGAAAATTTAAAGAGTCATGGGAGGTATCGAGATAAGGTTGATTGGAGTTAAAATCAGCAATAATAGAATATTGTTTATATTGATGTTTTATATATAATATAATGGGTTTCAATTGAATATGATGGTAATTATGATGATTTGGAATAGAATAATGAAGGCATTTGAGTTTTCATCTGGAGAAACACAGACTTCACACTTTTAAATATTAGGATTCCATCCATATGTAAATTCGGTTGCATATAAACATTATTCTTCTTTTAAGGTGTTCAAATCTAAATCAATGCATGAGGTTCCATTCCATTAACAGAATGTAACTGATTGTGAATCAACTGAAAAATAATATTGGCATTCATTTTCAAATAATATTGAACAAGTTTTTTCTGTGCATGTATTATTTGTAGTCCAATAACATGCATAAGTATTACAATTTTGTATTATTTTATAATCTGAACAATATTGAATTTTTTTGGGTTCACAAGTTTATGATTCTGCATTCTTAACACATTAAGTACCATCTGGAGTTTAATACCAAGAGCATGAACTATAAGACAACATATTACAATTATCTACACTTAAAAAGGCATCTAATGTTCTATCTTTACATTTTAATGTCCCCTCTGCACTATTAATTGTATCATAATCTGGTTAACACTTTACCAATAACGCACAACGAGATGCCTAACTTACATTAAATGTGTAATCTGAGCATTTTGTGAACTATTCACATTTACTACTTGTATCATTCCAAACACAATTAAATGGATCTGGTAAATAATCGCACTCCTATACTCCAAAACTCTAACAAGATTTGTTTGAACAACTTGATGAATTATCATCCCAATTACAATACTAATTTAAACAATCTTTTTCTCGCATAGCATTTATGCATGAACATTAAGACACTTGACTTGCTGAAATTGTTGCTGTTTAATTTGTTACCACTAACAAACAAAGAAGCAACCAATAAATTTTCATTATTTAATAAGATATTTAGCAAAATCAATTTATATATATAAATATATAATAATCAGATAGAATTACATTCAATTTTTTTTTTATTATTTAAGTTCAAATTTTAATTACAGAATTTTAATTAAATATTAAATCATTTTTAAATCAAATTCATTATTGCATTTATCACATATTTAGGTATCTTATACATTATTTTACAAAATATATGTTCTTGATCATTATAAGATGTTCAAGAATAAGATTCAAATTTACTGTTTTTATAATATTCATTTTATACAATAAATCATTTTATATATTTATATAAAATATCTTAAATTAAATACATTTTTATAAATTATTGAATAAACTCCATTTATTAAACTCAATATTTTAGTGACATTTATAATTTGTGAAATTTTAAAAAATTTTAATTCTCCCAATAATGCGATCAATCATATTTGACTTGTTAAATTTAATAAATATAAAGAAAATGATGAGAAAATTTGATATTTATTTATATATTCTTAAACTTCAATAATAATAAATAAATATCTTAAATTAACTTTGATTAATAAGTAGTAAATGTTTAATTAAATAGCTTAATAAATTTAGTTTCGGGATAATCCTATTTACTTCTGTTATTTCTTATAAACTGTAATAATCAGTTATATAGTATTCATAATATTAATTCAGTTTAAAGTTAATCTATTTAAAAATATTGATTAATTTAGAATTAATAAGTAAATTGATGACAAATAAAAAAATTAGAATGAAATAAATAATCATAATTATATTTATCCTTATATAAGTTGATTAAATTCTAAATTAAATAAATAATTTCAGCCATATTATTTGGCTGGATAATATAATGAGTATCAAAATGATTGCTATGGGATGATGAGTGAAAGGTAACTATTAAATAATATATAGATTTACTATAAGTCCTTATTCTGGCTTAAAAAGTTCTTTCTTTGATATCCTTTTAAAATATTATATGAAATTTATAATATCCTTCTTAAACATTTTTTTAATTAGGTAAGAATACCTTAAATGCTGTTTGCAAGTTATTTTAACTATTATTTAGATATAGAATTATGAATTGTAAAGGTTAAAACTAAAAATTGAATTAATTAAGACTATTCAATTAAGATGTAATTTGAATGCTAATAATTATAAGACTTCAGAATGCAATGATGGAAATTTTTAGATAATATGAGATGATTTGTAAAATTTATGACAATATGTGATGATTTGTACAAAAACATTAATATGAAGAAGCAATCAATAAATGAATATTGGATTAAATTTCATATATAAAATTAAATTATATAATAATAATAATATTATTCTATATATAATAAATAATATTATAATGATGATAGTAATATTAATTAATTATTAAAAAATAATATGTAATATTATACTATTTATATTGAAAGTTAGAAGTAAATTGTAATTTAAATAAATAAATCATAAAAAAATGGATTTGTAACCATAATAAGTTCCAAGAAGTGTAGTAGATTTACCATCTTTTACATTAGTTGGTTTGATTAGGAATATAATATAGAAAGAAGAATTAGATCCATAAACAGGATAGATTGGTAAGACATATGAAGAATATTTTAATAATAAAATACATGACAAGATTCCAAATCGTTTACATCCAAAAAGAACTTATTGTATGTATTATGAATACTAAAATCCACATGACAATGAAGAAATTAGATATAAAATGATTTTAGGAGAAGTAGTAAGTGAAGTAACAGATTTACCAGATGGATTAGTAGCTGTAAAAGTACCAGCTCATCGTTATTGTCGTTTTGATTGTGGACCAGGTCCTCTTCCAAAAGTAGTAATTGATGCTTGGTAATCATTACCAAATCTATCACCTTAACAATTAGGTGGAACAAGATCACATGATTTTGACTTTGAAATTTATCCAGAGGATACCAATACACAGGAAAACATCAAATTTGAATTATTCATAAGTTTATAATCATGAACAATATTTGTTTTATCAAAATCATATTTTTCATTTTCTTCTTTCTAAAATAAATCATTCGTAATATATCCTATATAATACTATTACTAAATGATTTACTTTCTTCTTTTCATCATTATTTTTAATCAACTTTTCAAATTTAAACCATTTTTAAGATATTTATTTGTACAATTTCAGAAAATCCGAACATTTTTAAAAATTTCATTCTTTTTTATATTTATTATGAACATTTTAAAATAAATTAAATGTATTTTTAATTTGCAAATAAATCAAAATTATTAAAAATTTATTTGTTCCATTCTTCCACTATAAGTCCAAAAAAAATTAAATTATACAATTATAGTTTTTATTAAAAATAAAATAGGAACATAAATTCAACAAAAGATGATAATAAATTTTTCATTATATTATTATATAAAGTTGATACTTAAAAATAATTAAATTACCTAGAAGAGGTAAGTATTTTGCAAAATGATCTCTTATCAATAATTTTAAATGAAATATGTGTGATACTTAATAATTTAATAGGAATAGATAGAATATGAGAATGCGTTAAAAATATATATATAAATAATAAAAAATTACTCTTGCCATAAAAATAGAAACTGATATTGCTGATAAATATTTTGATTAGCAATGAATTGCAAAATTTTAGGGAATGAGATTTTTCATTCATAAATTCTAAATTATCATTTCATCTTAAAAATTATAAACAGAAAATAAACTCAAGACACTGATAATTGGATATTAGTTTTTGATACTTTTGTTGAATATGAATATAATATAAACAAAATACGCATTAATTCGAGATTTATCTAGCATCATTTGAGAAACAATCAACTTTCAAAAGAATAATTAATAAGTTGATAATTTTTATTATATTTGCTTTTTGTTATTTATTTACATAGACGTATGCAGGATTAAAAATGAATTCTATCTCTTTATTTATTTATTTATTCAATTAAAGAATTATTAAAAATTTAAAACTTGATTATAAAAATCTCATACATTTATTACAATCTATTTTTTATTAAAAAAATAAAAAAATAGCCTTGACTAATGAGAAATTTAATATTAAGTATTTTTATATGAAAAGAAATAAAAAATTAAAGAAGCTTAAAAAAAAGTTCTAATTTAAGATCATTTCAATCAAATTTAAATATTATAAAATAGTTTCTTTTTTATTATTTATTATATCTTCAAATGAAACTGATTCTAAAATAGATCATATTAAATTAGAATTAAAGATTATTATTAGATGTAAAATATTGAAAATCTTTATTTTTTTTAAAGAAATATATAGAATATTGCAAAATCCTTTTTTGCTTTGATATATTTATTTTAATTGTAATAAAATATGATAAAGTTTGTAATAGAATTAGAATCTAATATTAAAGAACTGTTATGATTTATTTTAAGATCATTATTATTTTTAAATATGTAAGGACTATAGGGGAATAAAAATTGGTCTGCTGAAGAATAGGAATCCTTTTAATTAATTATAAATTCATTTGATCTTAATTAAGATTAAACATAAATATTATAGTAGTAAATACAAAACTTTAAAAATGCAGAAAAAATTATTGATTATCTGCTTGATTGTGATTCAAATTGGAACAAATTTTAAGAGAAAATTCAAAAGGAGATTTAAAATCAAATAAGAAGTTAATAGATAGAACCCTAATGGAATGAGGAACAATTGGGATAATTAGAAAATAAATTATTGAAATAAATTAAAAGTAAGAAGGAAATTAAACAACTTGTGTAATATATTTAATCAGCTAATTTGGACAAAGAAGTTATAAATGAAGTTTTAGATTGTGAATTTGAGTCATCTGATGATTTTTTACAATTGATTACTATATTTGAGTAAAGTAACACAATGACTAAAATACATACTTAGAAGAGGCAATAAGAATTTGTATAGGATAGGAATGAAAGAGATATATGGTAAAATGAATAAAATATATTGAATTAAGTAAATAAGGGGAATAATAATGAAAAGGAATTAGAGAATTAGTAAATGTAAGATTTATTTACAGAATTTTACTCTTTAAACAGGAGAAGTAATTAACAAATATAAATTTTACTTTAAAATTTATACAATTCTCTTAAGAATCAATAATAAAATAACATTAATGTAACTGATTTTAAAGTATCTGCATAATTAGAATATGAAGATTTATTACATTTATGTGTAAAAGTGAAATAATAATTTAAATATTATCCAAGACCAGTTCAGTTATTATCAGTAATTGAATTATATAATCATAATACTAATAAAGGACGTTTAGCTTAGATTTATACAGGAGAAGGTAAAACATTAATAGTTGCAATGTTGGCAATATTAATATGTAAAAAGAAAAGAGTTAATGTGGATATTGTAACAAGTTCTCCTGTATTGGCAATTAGAGATGCTTAAGAATTGGCATAATTTTATTAATTGTTTTAAGTATCTGTATCTCATAATATAAATGGGTAATTGAATTAAAAATAGAAAATGTATCCTTGCTATAATAATTAAGTAATATATGGAGATCCGCATAGTTTTTAAGCAGATATATTAAGACATGAATATTCAGAACTAGGAACTATGGGTAATAGACAATAAGGATATGTTATTATAGACGAAGTTGATTCTATGTTAATTGATGGTAATAGTAATAAAACATTGTTAAGTTCACCTATACCAGGAATGCTTGATTTAACTAAAGTTCTTAGATTAATATGGGATGAAATTTGTAAAGTAGAACCAAATCTATTAACGAATAAAAAAGTATGGATTAGAGATAAAGATAACAATTTAACTGTTGATTTAGAGGAATATATTCTAAGTACTCTAGATATTTAGCTAAAAGAAACTTTATTAAATTATATTCCTAAGTTTCGTTTAAATTATATCAATTTCATTAAGAAAAAATGGATTTAAAATGCTATTAATGCAAAGTTTCATCTTCATGAAAATAAACATTATAAAGTTGATAATAATAATATAAGAATAATTGATTATTAAAATACAGGAGTAGTACATAAAGATAATATGTAGTGGGAAAAAGGATTACATTAATTTATTTAATTGAAACATAATCTACCTATAACTCCATTAAGAATCAGTACTAACTATATATCAAATGTTAGTTTTTTTAAAAGATATAATACTAATCTTTTAGGTCTTACAGGTACATTAGGATCGTAAGTTACTTAGAAATTATTAAGCAAATAGTACAATGTAGATTTTATATTTATGCCTCCTTATAAAAAGAGACTATTAAAGGAAGAAACTGGAATAGCAACATTGAGTGAATAAGAATGGTTAGATGAGATTTTAAAAGCTGTTTAATAATAAATGAATAAAAGGAGAGCAGTTTTGATAATAAATCAAACAATAAATGATGTGAATAGAATTTAATCTCATTTAATGAGATATAATCTTAATTCTATTAAATATGTTGATGATAGTTAAAATATAAGTAAAGAGATTGGACCAAGAACAATTATAATAGCAACAAATTTAGCTGGTAGAGGGACAGATTTAAGTATTAATTAGGAATTAGAGAGAAACGGTGGTCTACATGTAATAATGTCTTTTTTACCTAGAAATATTAGAATATAATTATAAGGATTTGGAAGAAGTGGAAGATAAGGTAAATAAGGTACAGCTTAATTGATTGTAAATTTTCAATAAAGTTTATATATTGGGACAATAAACGATATAAAAACAATTTAAGATGCAATAAATTATTATAAAATTTTAACAAATAAATAGAATTATTAACTATTAGATGTTTTAATATATTTTAGAGATTTAAATGAAGAAGATTATTCAAACGAAATTGAGTAAGAGATGGCGAAATTATTAAATGAAGACAAATGTTTTTAAAGATTTTGTTAGATAGCAAAGAGCAAAGTCAAAATATAAGAGAATAGAGCAGGATTTTAAGCATTGGAAGAGAAATGGGGTTTATATTTAGAAGAATTCTAAGATGTAGGATTAAATGTAAATCATATAGAATAATAATTGGATTCAGATGAAGGATAGAATCCAAGATATTTGATATTGTAAGGTTTAGAATAAGATGATATAAAACCAATAAAAAAGGCAGCTGAATTATAGATTAATGACCCTTAAGCATAATATTACAAAGGATTATATGAAATAAAATAGAAAGATTTTTAAAGTGGAATAAAATCATTAAGATAAGCAAGATCTATGATATTAAGCAAAATGGATGATGAGAAAGGATTTGCAACAGCATCTAAATTAAATAGAGTTTAAGTTGATTAATTTTAGAATAATAATAGATCAATGCCTAATATGTAGATGTAAGAAATATAGGTTGATGTATAAAGTTAAATATTACCATAATTAGATTTTACTGCATCTACAGAATTAGAGAATATATCAGTAATTTAGTTTGGAGATTCAAGAGTAGTATAATAAGATCATTTTGACTTAGAGATAGATCATTAATTTAAAGGTAAAGACTAAAAATTAGTAACTAAATTTGATAATTTTGATTTAAAAGTAGATAATTAACTTAAAGTTTATGCTAAAGTGATAAGTAATATTGATGATATTATAAATACATTATAAAACTTTAATTAAAATGATGAAGAACTTGAATTAACATGGTAATCAGTATTAGAAAAAGATGAAAATGGAAATGTAGAATCAGAATAAACTGTTAAAGATTAAGAAGAAGTAATGTAGGATGGACCATTACCAAAACTTGGTAAAATAACAAAAGTAAAGAAGGAAAGAAAATGGTGGGAATATGGAGCAATGTTTATTATAGGATTAGGTTAATTCATTGTTGGATGTGCAATATGTGCATCTACATGTGGATTAGCATTACCAATTGGAAGAACTCTTATTTAAGAAGGATTTTCAGATATGATATATTCAGTAACAGCAGCATGGAAAGGAATAGATATTAATTGGGGAGAATGGGGAAAAAATAAAGTTATAAATGTAGCAACTTCATTAGCTTTAGCAGGACCAGCTGGAATTGAAGAAGCACTTAAACTTGGTGGTTCAGCATGGAAATCTCTAGAAAAAATTGGAATTAAATAATTTTTAAAATAAATTCCAGCTGTTACTGCAGAAGGACTTAAAAAAGCAGGTTTCTGGTTAACTGATATTGAAAAAATTTATATCTAAGGTTAATATGATACAATGTAATAAGTATCATAAGCAACCTAATCTGCTACTAATAATAATTAAATACTTAACATAGCATAACAAATCATGTAATAATAAGTAGATAAAGGAGTAATAACTTCAGAAACTGCTACAGATCTTTTTGGTATTGTTGATCAATCCTTATAAGATTCCGTAGGAAATCCTAATACATTTAAAAATATGTTCTGTTAAATGGCATAAAACTTTATTCGATTACAAATGGCTAAATCTAAATCAGAATAAGATCCATCTCAATTTAAAGATGATTTAATATCTATTTGTTCTAGAGAAGGAAATAAAAAATATAATAATGTTTAAAAAGATATAGAATAATATAATCAATATAAAAAAGCACTTAATAATGAATTAGACTTTTTCACCAAAAACATTTTAAATTGCTATTAAACAGATTAAGAATTACAAAAAATATTATTCATTCTTGATCTTTATTATGAAAAACTATGTGATCCTCTTAAAGTATCAAATGCTATTCAAAATTACAAAGTCTAAGAAATTATTACCTAAAACTTTAATCCTTAGAGTAAATTTGTCTAATAGAAATGTCAAAGTCTCTAATTAACAAATCCATAATCTGTGAATTTATTTTATTAAACTGTTATTAGGCCTCCAATTTACAAATTTTGCATTGGATTAAAAGATAACAATTAATACACAGAACCCTTAGAAATATAATTTTACTTAGAGTATTAGAATTAATATGAAGCCTAATTCTAATTAATTAAATAAAATAAATAAGACTTAGATTAAAAATAAGCTTAACTTAAATAGTAATAAGAATATATTTAATCCTTAGGCAACAATTAAACTCAAAATTAAGTCAATCAATATAATTAAGTATTTATTTTATTTTATTTTATTATTAGTTAGTTGATGATTTTAATAACGAATGTAAACTATATGAGTAAAAAACTAAACAATTTAAACAAATACAAGAAATTAACAATTAATAATTAATCAAAGAAATTGTAGCCTACATGAAAAATAAAAAAATGATCAATAATAATGGCATAACCTTCTCTTAATCATTCTTATAAGAATTTAATAAATACTTGAATAACTAAAATTATAACCCTATCATTAAACAAATTCTCTTATAAGCTATGCAAAATAGCATCAATTAGATTTCCAATTTAAAAACTTAATCAAAATAAATATTAACATCGAAATTATAATTGGCATTAGAAGTTGAAATGATTGAAGGAATTAAAAAATAAATATTTGAATCAAGAATGTTGGCTGCTGATAAAAATATCATTAATAAAATTGATTGATTTATTTATAGTAGTAATATATCAACATATAATTTATTTTCTTTATAAAATTCTTTGGTTGAATGATTATCATTTGTATTAATCTTTCATAGTGAAGAAGCAATGAAATTTTTTGAAGGAATATTTACAATTTTCTTTTTTATTTCTATATCATGATATTAGTTAAAATATGGTATTACCAGCAATATTTGATCAAACACAATAAATCATTTACTAAACTCATATGATGGTCTCAAAATAATGATCCAAAAACAAATTCATGTTGGGTTAAAAGAGTTAACTGGATTAGTTTTCTATAAACATTTGTTATATTTAAAATGATTATTGTTCAATAATTTAAAAGATTGTATTTTTAATTCAAAAGTTAAATTGCAACAGCTTCTATTTTAAGAACAACCAAAATGATAAATCATGATTTTTATTTTGTAAAGCCTATTTAATTTAAGAAATTTTAATCATAAACAATCAAACAAATTTAACTATTGTTAATGTCAAAATTCTAATTGATAGTATGAAAAATAGATTTATTAAAGAAAAGTTAGTTTGGATAAAGTGTTAATATTTGTGATAAATAATTTCTTAAAATTTTATAATATTTTTTTCTTAAGATAAATAGTCTAAAACAACATAAAAATATTCATATTTGATAGTCTTTCATTTTAAAATTTAGGTTCATGATTTTTTAGCAAAATTAGTTTCTTTATCCGTATTGTAATTTGGGAATATATATTGTCTTACAATAATTTTTGAATAATAAGGTGAAGAGTTACTGGATTTCCATAATCCTTAACTTGTGAATAATATAGACTTAAATTTTGTTATAAAATTCAACTTAAATACCAGAATTTGCAAGCTTTATTCGTTAAAAAGATTCTTAATCTGGTATATTGGTGAATAAATTTAATTTATTTTTATAAAATGTAAAATTATGATAAGAATGATGAAGAACATTTATAGAGTTCTGTCAAGGAGAAAGTAGAAAAATTACAAATTGAATCCTTACAACCAAAAACTACAACAGTTTCTCTTTAGAATAATATAAGGGAAAATAGAAAAAAGTCGCATGCAAGTACTTAAGCTAAAAAAAATGCATCAGAATCTGTTTCAGAGTCATCTTATGATGATTGCTCAGAGCTGTATTTTTCAGAATTTGATATATTTAATGACAATAAGTAGGCAAAAATTTTATGTGAATACAAGAATAGTTATTTTAATGAAAAAATAAAAATGTTTAATGAAATAAAATCAAGGTAAGTTTGGCCAAAATAATAAATGTAGCTTAACAAAGATGAATAATCTGTTCAACTTATAAAATCTTAGTCAATAATAAGATAATAATCATCAATATCTGAAAGTAATCACAACACAATAAGTTTAGTCAGGAGGATTAAAGAATTTAATGATTAATCAATCGAATAATCATTAAAATAAATAAATTCTCCACTAATATTTTACATACCAAGCAATAATTAATTTAATAGTAACAATATTTAAAACAATCAAAACATGACTAGTTCTCGAGCTTTTAACAATCGATCTTTATAATAAATATAAGAAAATAGTTAGTACACAATAGATATTCCCTGTAATGATTCTTTAGGATAATAATCTGTTAAATACACAGATAAGGAAATGCAAAATCAAATAATAGAATCTATTTTTACTAAAAATATCTTTTTTTTATTGTAAATGATAAGGCTTTTATAGAAAGATNTATTGTAATTTGGGAATATATATTGTCTTACAATAATTTTTGAATAATAAGGTGAAGAGTTACTGGATTTCCATAATCCTTAACTTGTGAATAATATAGACTTAAATTTTGTTATAAAATTCAACTTAAATACCAGAATTTGCAAGCTTTATTCGTTAAAAAGATTCTTAATCTGGTATATTGGTGAATAAATTTAATTTATTTTTATAAAATGTAAAATTATGATAAGAATGATGAAGAACATTTATAGAGTTCTGTCAAGGAGAAAGTAGAAAAATTACAAATTGAATCCTTACAACCAAAAACTACAACAGTTTCTCTTTAGAATAATATAAGGGAAAATAGAAAAAAGTCGCATGCAAGTACTTAAGCTAAAAAAAATGCATCAGAATCTGTTTCAGAGTCATCTTATGATGATTGCTCAGAGCTGTATTTTTCAGAATTTGATATATTTAATGACAATAAGTAGGCAAAAATTTTATGTGAATACAAGAATAGTTATTTTAATGAAAAAATAAAAATGTTTAATGAAATAAAATCAAGGTAAGTTTGGCCAAAATAATAAATGTAGCTTAACAAAGATGAATAATCTGTTCAACTTATAAAATCTTAGTCAATAATAAGATAATAATCATCAATATCTGAAAGTAATCACAACACAATAAGTTTAGTCAGGAGGATTAAAGAATTTAATGATTAATCAATCGAATAATCATTAAAATAAATAAATTCTCCACTAATATTTTACATACCAAGCAATAATTAATTTAATAGTAACAATATTTAAAACAATCAAAACATGACTAGTTCTCGAGCTTTTAACAATCGATCTTTATAATAAATATAAGAAAATAGTTAGTACACAATAGATATTCCCTGTAATGATTCTTTAGGATAATAATCTGTTAAATACACAGATAAGGAAATGCAAAATCAAATAATAGAATCTATTTTTACTAAAAATATCTTTTTTTTATTGTAAATGATAAGGCTTTTATAGAAAGATTATAGAACAGAAATTTTAAACTATAAAGATGTAAATGGAAATACTCCTATTTTATTAGCTACAAAATTATCTCATAAATAAAATTAATTTGATATCATTAAATTACTTTTATCAAGTGGTTGTGATCCATCTATAAAAGACTTAAATGGTTGGAGTCCAATTGAAGAATCTGTTGCTTAAATGGATGTACTAACAACATCATTATTATTTGATTATTTAGTACAAAAAAAAATGTTTGAAATTTAATAAGAAAGAACTCATATTGATTAAGAACTTTCAAGAATCAATGACTTTTATCTTGAAATGAAATGGGAATTTAAATCTAATTTGATACCATTTCTTTCTAAAATTACACCAAATGATACTTTTAAAATATATAAAAGAGGTAAAATATGGATTTATTTAAGGTTCTTCTTTAAGACTTGATTCAACTTTCGCAGGAATCAAGAATTATAAAACTAAAAGAAGAGATATGAGTGTTCTGTATAATCCAATGAATGGAATATATTAAAGGAAGGAAAATTGTTCTAATTGTAGATTTGTTGTAATATTAAACAGAGCAAAATGTATTTATTATTATCCAATTGTAATTAATTAAATTAACTTAGTAAGAAATAGATATAGAGGAAAAAGAATAAATTATTTTAGATCTATTACATTGCGACAGCGTAAATGGCAAAATGAAAGTAACATAATGTGATTTGGTAAAAAGGAAAAATATATTCGGAAATTTTGTTACATAAAAAATACACAATCATGTTTGCCAAAAATACGAATTTCGTATTCATGCAAATAAATAATTTCGTAAAAAAAATAGATCTCATTATTAAATGAATTTCGAATAATACATAAATTAAAACTTTGATTAAGATTGTAAATAAGATAATATAAAATTTGAATCTTGGGCTTAAGAAATCATTTAAAATGAAGGAACCTCGAAAAGTATAATAATAAATTATATAAAAATAGAATAAGAGAAATCTTGTTAATTATATATATGTTAAGAATTTCCGTTAGATTTTAAATAGTTTTTGCCTATTATAAAAATGCTAGCTCGAGGAAATGAAATGCTATAATCTTTAGAAGAAATTTTATGTAGTGAAACAGTATCTTAAGTATTAAACAATAATGGATTTCCAGTAAGGGTTGAGATTCCAATAAATTTTACAGTTGATGCTGTAGTAACTTTTTAGGGTTATAGATAAATTGATTTTGAAGATAAGGAAACAGCAGAACTCTTTTAAATACCTAATAATTTTAATTTTATGTAAAGAAGAGATGCTACAAAAGTAATGAAAAGATCAAAAAAAAGATTGGTTTTAGCTAATTTATTTTTATGACGCTATATTGAATTCTCTATTAAAATTACATAATTATTTAAGCATATTTCTATATAAAATATATAAAAATTAATTAATGAAAATTATATTAGGGCTCTTAATTGCATCATTAGTGTTAGTGAAATGCACAGATTAAACAAGTAAAAATTGAAACAAGAAAATAGGTTTTTTCGCTGAGTTATTGGGAGAAAATCTTCCTTATTACACGGAAACTGATTATGTTAATTTTCCTGATCTTGGATCTATATATTATCATTTGATATTGAAGGAAGGAACAAAAAGTCTTGATGACATAAAAAAAGGTGATGTGTTAGCAATATGGTTAAATGGAGGTCCTGGATCATCAAGTTAACTTGGTAACTATATGGAAATTGGTCCATGGGTTATAAAAAAAAACCCAGATACAGAGGCAAAAGAAAAACCTTATATAGTTACAAAGAGAGTAAGATATATAAAAAATATTAAAAGGAATATGCTTGGAATAAGGTGATGCATTTACTTTTTATAGATTAACCATTTGGGGCTGGAATGAGTAAGGCTGAAAAAGAAAATATTGTAACAAATAGTGATTAAGCAGCTAAATATTTTGTAGATACAATTAAGTACATCTATTCAAGACTAAATGGTTTAGATAAAGTGAATACTTATATATTTGGAGAGAGTTATGCTGGACATTACATACCAGCATTTGCTACAAAATTAATTCAAGAAGATATAAAGACTTTGGAGAAAATTAATTTTAAGGGAATAGCTATAATTGATGGAATTACTGATACTCAAAATCAATTAAATTATTATCATAGTTACTTGTTTAATATAGGTGCTATTTCTTAAGTCGATTTAGAAAAACTATAGAAGATTGGTGTTACTGGTTAATAATATATTATGAATGGAGATTATGTAAAAGGAGCAGAATAATTAGATTTAATGACAGAAGATAAATTGATTTAGTAAATTGGAGATATAAATGTTTATAATATTCGAAAATATAAAGGATTAGATGAATATGATTATTCCTGGGTTGATTTTTTAAATACCTATATTACACAGTTTTCATCTGAAATTACTAAATTTGAAAAATCAAATTAGAATATTTACAAAGCCTTCTAATAAGATATTGGTGAAAGTAGACGATAAGATATTTAATTATTGTTGAAAAATAACTATAAGGTGTTATTGTTGAACGGATAACTAGATTATATTATTAATACACCAGGAGCATGGAATTGGATTTATTAACTCAAATGGGATTATCATTATTAATGGAAAAACACAGAAAAATAATTTATTACTTTTCCAGTAGAAGGATAAGCAACAAAATTTGAAACTCATGGATATGTCAAAACATACGAGAACTTTTCATATGCCACTATTTATAAGGCTGGTCATATGATACCAACAGATAACCCTAAAGCAGTTTATTCTGTTATTGAGAAATTTATAAAGTGATTCATCATTTCCCTGAAATCGATCTTATTGTTTTAAAATATTTTGTGCTATTTGGTGTTAAATGTGTCATGTTTGTTACTTAATGTACTGTATATTAATTTGTTCTTGTTTCTATTTCTGTTAAATTTATTGTTGTGGTAATATTATTATTATTACTCTTCTCACCTGATTATTTTCTACCTCTTATTTTTATAAAACTTGGTCTTAAAATTGAAGTTCTCTATTTTTATTTCATAAAATCTACTGAATTTTCTGTTTCTACAGTCTAACCAATTGATGATTAAGATGAAGTTACAAATATAGATTTTCGTTTCCTATCCTTCTTTTCATGTAGCATCTTTTTATTTTAATATTTCTTTAATATTTGTGATATTATAACTTTATTCTTTACATGCTTTTATGGTGATTGACTATTTTTTTAAGTTTATTATTATCTATCTATTCGTTCTCTGATGTAAGATAAATTATTATTATTTATTATAAATCTTAATTCGCTTTTCTCTTATGGTTCAACTAACTTTCTATTTTAATCAAAAACTATATGTTATTAGAGAATTTCATTCTAAGTTCCTTTGATTTATTTTTGAGATCTCACACACAATGAATTAGATTTATTATCTTTATTAGTTTAGAAAATCTCTTTAAGTTTTTATTCCTTATTAATATTGTTTGAATTTAATGTATTCAAAAATTAATCATAAATCTTAAAATTATGAAGAATCAACTATTTTCTTTTATTTATATAGTCTTTATTAATATTAGCTCTTTCTTTTAAGCAATCTATAATATCTTAATGATTTCCTTAAATAGCCTTAAAATCACTTGCTTCCATATAATATGCATTTGTAATATCAAGAGTTTCACAATAATACTATCTTTTTTGAGAATCCTCCAAAAGTTCCTCTTAACCAACAATATTACCTTCAGCTAATTAACTAAGCTATTTATAAATTGATTAATCATACAACTATTTTAGCTTTATATTATTATTTGCCTATAAATAATCCTTATTGTATGTCATCTTAAAATTTCTATTTACCTGTCAAAGTACCAATATCCATATATTTATAGAGTTCTACACTGCCTGAAACAATAATAAGAAAAAACTAGGGTTCATCTCCAATTGACCATAAAACAGTTTTACTCTAAAATACAATAGGTCTTAAATATTGAATAAATTTAGAGAGATTAAATTAAAGGGCTCCTGGAAAGATCTTCATAAAATATTCAATAGTATTTCTGGCTTGTTAAATTGATTTTTAGAATATAACTTTAAAATCATTTCTTCTCATTGATAAACAATAAACCTTTTCTGATGAAACAATAATAGTGGCAGATCTTGGTTTATCTGATGTTAATGCCACATCACCAAAACATTATCCTGAATAGTATTAAAATATCTAATTTTATATTAATTATACCTTTTAATAAAGTAACACACCATCCTTATAATATCTAGAATCTTAAATTTTAAGTAAGTTATCAATATTTGTAGTTAACTATCTTTTTTAACCTTTAATAACTAATTCTCCTTCATCTTATAATTTAATTAGTTCTATTTCTTTATTTATTTCTTCCTATGGTTTTGGTCCAAAGACACAAACTTCTCCCTTTAAAATGATAAACATTTTATCACCATATTCTCCATAATGAAATATTGGTGAACCATAATCGTATTATTCAAATTTGAAATATTTAATTGCATTTCCAACAAAATCAGATAGTTTCATACCTTCAGGACAATTTTTTTTAAAGAATTCAATTGTTTGAAGAGAATCGAGAATAGTAGCAATTAGATTATGATCATCAATTTTACCATATTGTTGATATAATTTTAATGCTGGGTAAAGTTATTCTTCATTCTCTTTTTTAATTTTTGCATGTCTTGCTGCTTAATCAAAAAGTAATGATGTTTTATTTTACATAATATTTTTTTTGTATTAATATCAGATTTAATATTGAACAAAAAAAGTAATGTAAAAAAAATGAGAATTCAATTTTAAGCCTTACGAATTTTTTTTTTCTAGATTTATTGAATATCGAGGGTCTTAGATTCATTTTGATTAGATTCATGGTCCTTTTAATGAATAAGAGGAATATCTTCTTTGCCATTGATAAAATTTCTGATTAAATTGAATATTTAGATTTGTTTTTCATATTATAGTTAAGCTTAATCGTATCGTGCTCGTAATTGAGGATTTGAGAGTATTCTGTATGCTTCAGAAATAATTCTAAATTAAACAGATTAAGGATTCTTGTCCTTGAATATACAATGATAATTTACTGGATGATGCATTTTAGCTAGGTTTCTGAATGCTATTTTGATTTGTTCTTGAGATGAGTTATTTTAGATACCAAGTATATTGTAATAATTCATATATTAAAAGTTCATAGGGTAAATTTTATGGCGATTAAATTGTGTATTAGAATTAACTAGAATTAGTTGGAATTTTCTAAATGATTTTAAAACCATTAAATTAATGTATTTATTTATATAGTATTTTGTTTGATTATATATAACAATATAGAGAGAATTCAAATTAAGTGAAAAAGGAGGGAATAATTTGTATGAGAACAATGATCATGAGTATATCATTATAAAATAAATAAAAGTGGGATGATAGGTTTTATATAAAATTAAAAAAACATAAATTAAAAAATGGTTAACATATGTCTTATATGTGATTTCTTTTATCCAAGACTTGGTGGAGTGGAGATGCACATTTTTTAATTGGGATTGTGTTTAATGGAAAGAGGTCATAAAGTGATAATAATAACACATAAATATGATAATAGGGCTGGTGTTAGATATATGACAAATGGATTAAAAGTATATTACTGTCCATTTGTTCCAGCACATGAATAGGTTGTACTATTTACATACATGGGAAGTTTAGCATTATTAAGATAAATATTACTAAGAGAAGAAATCCATGTTGTACATTCTCATGCAGCAACATCATTTTTTGGTGGTGAATTATTATTACATGCAAAGTCTTTAGGATTTAAAACAGTATTTACAGATCATTCATTATTTGCATTTAATGATGCAGCATCATTTCATGTTAATAAAATATTGAAATTTATATTATGTGAGGTTGATCATGCTATTTCTGTATCTCATATTAGCAAAGAGAATTTAAGTATGAGAGCATCATTAGATCCTAGAAACATAAGTGTGATACCTAATGCAGTTGATTGTAGTAGATTCAAACCAGACCCATCTAAGAGATATCCACTAAATACAGTGAATATAGTTGTAATAAGTAGATTGACATTTCGAAAAGGAGTGGATTTGTTAGTAGATGTTGTACCAACAATTTGTAAGAAGTTTCCATAAGTATATTTCATTATTGGAGGAGATGGACCAAAAAAAAAGATAATAGAAGAAAGTATAAAAAAACATGGTTTAACTGATAGAGTTGAAATGGTATAATAATATATATTTATATATTTAGTTAGGATCAGTACCTGGACATAAAGTTAGAGAAGTCCTAGTTAGAGGTCATATATTTTTGAATACTTCCTTAACTGAAGCATTTTGCATAGCTATAGTTGAAGCTGCTTCTTGTGGTTTATTTGTAGTTTCAACTAATGTTGGAGGAGTAGTTGAGGTATTACCTAAAAATATGGTTAATTTTGCTAAACCTGATCCTGATGATATTTGTGAAAAATTAGCTGTAGCTATTCCTATTGCAAAGAATGTTCCTTCCCATTAATACCACGAATAAGTAGCCAAAATGTATAGTTGGCATATGGTTGCTGAGAGAACTGAAACTGTTTATAATAAAATCTTATCGTCACCATATCCATCAATTTTATCTAGAATTAAAGCTTGCTAAAGTAATGGACCTATTTTTGGATTATATTTATTAATCCTACTTATCATAGACTATGTTGCCATTTTCATTCTTGATTTGATATTCCCATTCAAAAATATTCAAGCCTAATCAATTAAAACGAGAGTATAGAGTTAATAAAAAGAAATATGGTGATTATTGATTAAAATAAATCGATTATTTATATCATGTTTTATTTATTTACATTTCTTGTCTATGCCTACTCATACATAATATATGTAAATGAGACGTATTAAGTTCAATTAACTCAACTCTTTGGCTACCTTGAAAATCCTACCTATAGTATTCCAGAAGGCAATCCTTATTCTACAATCATACCCTAATATCATTTATAAAATGATTCACAAAAACACAATCAAAGTAAATTATACAAAATAATACTAGATGCGGATGTCATAATCAGTGTAAAAGCATAGCATTAATTTGGACATTGGACTAACCATTTCCTCTTCTTAGAAAATAACAAAGGAACATTTAATGTTCATTACTCAGAAAAGTATTATAGCTTTGAAATATCCATAGTCCACAAGAGGAAAATGTTGCCACACCTAAATTTAATGAACATTTGTAAGTCACAAATTTACCAAATATGGTTTGTTTCGATGCAGAATAATTTGATTCTTTTCACTATATTGTAGATTGTGCACTTTAAATAACTGATTAACCATTAACCAATAAACTGTATGTTCTTGCCAAAGATCAAAATATTAAAGAACATCCTGTAACAAATCCTCTTGATTATAAAACAGTCAGAAAAAGAAAAATTGCTATATCAATTTAAGATTAATAGTATTATTTGTTTTAGGGATCTCTATTTTAATCCGAATCCATTATTTAGATTTATAAAATCCTTACTCCTGCTATCACCTTTGAAGAATAATCTATTGAAATTAATACTAACATTATAAAGATTCTATTTAAGCAATAACTTTAAGATTCCTATAAATTTTACCTTTTAGATTATAAATTAGTTTATAATCAAATATTTATATTAGATAATCTTTTTGTAGCAGCTATGAGTTTTGATAAATATGGGGATTGGTCATCAACATTTTTTATTCAATTATCTGGTAAAATAATAGCCTTTGATTATGTTTATTTTAAAGATGATAATGGTATTTAACAAAGTGCACTTGTTATTCTTAAAGATACTACATTTGATCTCTATTTAAATTAATAAGGTGTCATTACTTATTAATTGCCATAAAAAATATCTACTAATTCTTAAATAAAAATATCTGATCATTATATAATTGTTGAAGATGAAAATATCGTTTATTAGTATTCTATATATAATTAGATATTAATTAATCAAAAGACCTTACAATAAATTAATTTCTATTTGATAAATCCAGTATATCCAGATCTAATATCTATTAGTTACAATTTAACCAGAAGATATTACATTAGTGATGGATATCTATAAATAAAGTCAAATACTATTGCCATAGATAAAACTACTTTTAATATTCAAGCCATATCTAAAGGATAAACATATACTAAAGAAATTAAACTTTAAATTCTTAATTAAAATGATTTTAATCTATATTTTAATGATAAATCTTAATAAATTATTACTGATGTATTGGCATCAATTAATTATACTTAAGATGTTACTTAATTTATGAGTGGCCCAGATGTATAATTTGTATTTGAAAATTAAGGTGATGATTTAGATATGGAATTTCAAATTCTAGAAGAAATGAATATAGCAGTTTGGCCAAAAGCATAAGATATTCACTTTTAAGATATGCTCCAATTTAATGATACCTTAGTGTATGTTCTATTCTAATTAAAAAATAAAGAAGTCTAAATTTATAATTGTAAATAAAATTCATTCTCTTTAATTGAATAATGTACTCAATTTGTAAATTCAAGTAATTTTAGTAGAGGTTTCAATGTTCTAGTTGATTAATTACATTTTTAATGGTGGATAGATAATAATTAAGCTTATGTAATATTCTGTGATTAAAATACTACTGCTGAATTATGGAAAATTAATGAACAAGAATTAATTTTCATTAATAAAATAACTTATTTCTAAAAAATTACACAGCTCCTAGAATTAGATAGAATTATATATATTTTAATAGAAGATTCTAAAAAGATTGGAATTTACAAATCTGTTGATGGTAATCGTTTAGATTAAATTGATGAATAATCTGTAAGAAATCTAGGAATGATAAAGAATTGGAGTCCAAAAAAACTATTTGGAAATCAAAAATATAATGGTCATTTACTTTTTATTAGAAATTCTGATAATATTTTAATCACTACTTATACTGATTAACTTAATATGGTTGAATGTATATTAAATAATGAAGATGTATAATTAACTATGTACAAAAGATCTTTCTTTATTATTAAATCAACCTAAATATTAGAATACTCATTAGATGATTTAAATAATGTTTATCTCATTCGATAATTATAAGTTTATGATCATCAATTCAAGAATCCATTAGTAATTACATAATCAGAAGATAATGGTCTTTTATTTATTTTGACAACATAATAATAAATTTTAGTATATCAACCATATTCTGAAAATAGTAATGATTAATTATTCAGAATAATTGATGTTCATTGTGATGATATATTTATGATGTCTGCAAGTGGATATTAAAAAACCCATTTATATTTTAATAATGGAACTCATTAATTCTATTATGCAATTCTGAAATAATCTAAATTATATATAAAATCAATAAATCTAAATACTTTTGATTATTATGTTAATGTAACTAAAACTTTAACAATTTAAAATTCTTTGCATTCTTAAAAAATCCAAGAAACAATATTTATTTTAAATTAAAAATATCCAATTTAATTAAGTTAATAGAATGATATATAAATTAATTCATCACTTCAGAATGCAACAATCAATTTAAATTAACTCTACAAAGGTTAAGTATAGAATATTAGTATCGAATGTGATCAATGTAAGGATATAATTAAATTAAACTTGCCAATTTAAAGAATTAGTGAAAATATAGTTTCTAATATTTTAGATATAGAATCATTTAATTCCTAATACAATATTGCTTTAAGTAGAGATAAGTTATTAGCAATAAGTAATAAAGATAATATGAATACTATTATTGAATTTTAATCACCAAATAGCTGTGAATTGATTGCTATACAAGAAGGTAATAAATATATTGTAACACTTTGTAAATATAACAATGTTTATCATGTTTATTTGACTGTATGTGATAAGGATTTGAAATGTAAAAATATTGATACTCCTAAAGACATATTAGAATTAAATGGAGTTTAAAAGATGATATTAATACCTAACAATTTATTATTGATGCAAGATTATGGTAAAATATATGTTTACAATCTAAATATAAATACAGAATTAACTATTTGGAGTATAGGATTAACATAAATAATTGATAATGATAAAGGTTTAACAGATTTTGTGATTCAAAAGTTAGCTTAATCTAATGAAGGAGATAATATTAATTATTTTCTAACATTTATTGATTAGGCTGATCATTTAAATATTTATTATACAGAATATAAATAGAATAAGCTTAATATTATTTAATCAAACAATATTTTTATATATGATTTGATTAAGAAGAACAATCAATATGCATTTAAAACAACAGATTATATATAACTGTTTGCAACTGAATAAATAGTAGAGAATTAATTAAATTATATTATTATTTCAAATGATGTTGCATCTTTTAAATTGTAATTTGATTTAGATAATACAAAATAAGTAGTAAATAGCAAAATAATAAATGTAATAAATCCATATAAAAATTGGATAGCCTTAAATAAAGGTTACATGATTGATAATTTACTTTTTATTGCTTATACAAATAAGTAAGATACAGTTTTAGCTATGTATGAATTAAATGATAAAGTTTTTTCAATTAATATGGCATATGGGTTATAGGATAATGCATTTCAAGTAAAAGATGGAATGTTTATTGTATATGTATGTAATGATGATAAAAATAAAAGATTGTATACAAATTTAGTTGGAAAAGTGTTAAATAGTTATTAATTAAGTTTAGAAATAAGTTTAACATTTGTAACACCGTCAAAATTAAAGGATAAATAATAAGTAAAAATATTGGCAAGTAATGCTTACATCAAAGAAGAAGAATAATTTAATATAAATAGAGTAGATAATCCATAACCTCCTCCTCCTCCTAATCCTAATGATGATGATGATGAGAGTAGTTCAAAGTATTTATATAATTTTATTGTTTTAGTTGGTGGTGGATATTACTTATTGTATTATTCGTAGTAGGATTGATAATTGGTGGAGCTATATATTATATGAAGAGAAAACAAGTTGGACTATTTAAAGTTTAAGAGAATCAATATAGTTTACATAATTATTGATAATTTTTATTATTGTTATAATGAATTAATCAATTAAAAACATGAAGAAATCTGTGATCTAAGATTAAAAAGTAGATGATAATTAATAAAGAAAAAAGAACGAAGAAAATTTAAAGATTCCTCTCAATCTTTATCGTTCATATACAAGAATCACTTAATAATCTTTATTAGAGGAAATTGCTCCTATGATGTCACAAATTGAGTTTCTTAAAAAAAACTGTCCTGAAGGTACTAAAATAGAAGAATTTGCTGCTTAAGCTTGCTCCTATTTTAATTATGAATAATTTAGTAAAGGACAAATTGTTTTTAATTATGGGGAATATGGAGATAAAGTGTATTTAATATTACTTGGAGAGGTTGGAGTCTTTATTTCTAAATCTTAAGAAGAAGTTTCAAGTGACAAAGAGGTTATTGAAACTTATAAAAGTAATTTAAACCCTTTTGAAGAAGAAGTGTTAGATTATGAAACTGTATTTAAAAAGAAAAAAAGACCACAAGATCTTTAAATGGAATTATTACTAGCTTAATAAAAGAATCCATTTGAAATAAATAACATGTATTTTAAAGATGGAGTATGTTATTATAAAAAAGTCTTTTAATTTTACTCAGGTTAAGCCTTTGGTGATATGGCATTATCTTCTGATAAACCAAGAACTGCAAGTATTTTAGTTTTATCTGATTAACTTCATGTATTAACAATGAATAGATAAGATTTTAAAAGTGTTGGAGAAAGATCTATTAAAGAAAAAAATTAGACATTTGAGTACTTTTTAAGTATTTTTGTGGGTGTCAGTAAATTTATTGTGACCAAGTTTATTTAATATTTTTAAAAAATTGAATTTGCCCCATAAACTATTTTATGGAAAGAAGGAGATGAACCAAAATTCTTTTTACTTATTGTTAGAGGAAGAATTGAAATCTATAGATCTTATGCTGAAGATACTTTACATGGTAAACTTAAAGAACCCTCTATTTTCTAATAAAAAATAAAACCAAAAAAGAAAGTAACTCTCTCATAACTCTCTGATAACTCTTTTGTTGGAGAAGCTGAACTAATAGATAATATTCCTATAAGGTTATATTCTTGTATGACATCTGATAATACTCTTGCTTATTATATGGAAAGTGATGCATTTAATATTGTTAGAAAAAATCATCCAGATTTTCTTAAAATTTTAAAAGAGAAATCTCATGTTATTAAGTCTTATTTACTAAGAAGAGAAAAATATCTTTTTGAAAATATTCAAAAATAAGATAAAGCAATGGAAAAACTTCAATATCCTGATTCTAATAACACTGAAAGAGTAACAGTTGATGAATTATATAGAGATATTAGCTAATTAAACTCTAAAATTTTAAGATCTCAATAAAGAAGTAAGTTAACTACTACTACAGATATTGTTAATTCTAATAATTTACTTAGTAAAAAAATTACTCCTTAATCTGATATGTTTATTTTTCATAAGAAACAATTAGAATCATTAAAGTAAAAGAAATAATCCTAATCTTAAAGTAGTAGTGTCATACCTTCTATTAATTTATAGAAATCTATTTCCTAAAATAATTTTGCACTTGAAAATTAAGTGTTAAAATCATATAGAAAAATGAGATTTTAATAGTTTTAAGCTAATAGAGAAGTTTGTCTTAAGATCAAATCTTCAATTCGATCTTTTATGACAACTTAGCCAAGATCATCTTCACATGAATCTTCCTTTCCTATAGTATCAAATGAATTTGTAAAAAAGATTGGTACTCTTTAAGAATTTTATTTTGCAAAATCCTTTATAACCACGAATAAATGAATATAAAATTATTATCTAAATTTTTCTATAATCAAAGAGTAAATTTATAAATTTATAAATTTATTAAAATTTCTTAAGTTATTAATTAATGAAAATATATAAATATATTATAATTTACAGATTTACATTTTTTAAAGAATTGTTTGATTGTCTATTTAATTAATGAATAGAATATTAAATTTGATAAAAATAGGTTAAATATAATATCAATAAACAAATTCAATACTATTTCAATCTAAAATTTAAGTTGCTTTTCCTTTGCCTTTTTTAGACAGGAGAATTGGACAATGGACTAATAAATAAATAAAGAATATAATATTACGGAAGTTTTATTAATTGTGTATTTCTTTTTGCAATTAAATTAAATTAAGTTGATTCAGAATGTAACATAGTTTTATTTGGAGATATAGAAACTCTTTTATTATTATGAGTAAATCTTATAGGTGAAGGTAGATTATTGGTTTCAAAGAAAATAGTACTGGTGCTGCGAACTTATTTAATAAATGAAGGATTTCGAGAACTACTTCTAACAAGTTTTAATTTGAAATATGTATTTGTATCTGCTGTAGAGTCATTAAATTCATAATTACTGAATTCACTTGGTATAATAGTACCAAATTTTTAACATATTTATTTAATAATCATTAAGGCTTTAATGATTTAAATAGTTTTCATTTTATTATCAAAAAGTATTTTCATATCTGCCATTGTAATAGGTTACCATAATTCTCCTTTTCCTGATAACCAAGGATGATATAAAGCTTGATTGGCATTCATTCTTGCTTCAGGTGAATAAGCAGCACATTTTAAAAAAAATGATCTTTAATAATCATTCATTTCATAGAAATTAGGATTGAATTATTAAATTCTTTAAATAAATGTAGAAGTAGATTCTGATGAATCCCAAAATGGATGCTTTTTATTTATTAATTGATAAGCAATAATTCCACAACTCCAAATGTCTACAGATTTAAGATATGGTTATTTAAATATCATTTCAGGAGCCATAAACAAGAGGGTTCCACATTTATCATATGATAATTTAGATTCTGAATGGGAACTAAGACCAAAATCAATAAGTTTAACAACACCTTCATTTGTAATAATTATATTATCTATTGAAAACAGATTAAATACCTGGTTTGATGTCTCTATGTATAATATCTCGAGAATGTAAATAGGATACTGAATTAAGTAATTCAATAACAATCTATTTTATATGAGATTCTTCCATATCAACAGTTTTTATCAATTATGTCAGTGTTTTGCCCTCCAAATATTCTTATACAATGTATAGAGAATCTTCAGTCTCTTTACTCTTTTAATAAAATACTATATTTTACATAATAGTATTTAGCAAAACTTGGATGATGAATGGACTCCAAAATTTCAACTTCCTTTTTAAATTATTCCATGTATATAGGATCCATTACCTGTTTAATTGAAAGAAAAGAGTACTTTTATTGCTACCTTTTGAGATTCGTATTCTCCAAGAAAAACTTAACTAAATGCTCCATGACCTATTTGTTGAAATAATTTAAGATCGAAATCAAAAGAGATTTCCATAAAATTTAGTTATAAATAAATATTTCAATAATTTTATTGAAATTGCTTCTTCATTTTGCTCACATTTCCTTAGAATATCTCAGTAGGGAATCTCTTTGGTTTAAGTATCATAACCTATTTTCCAAAAGTTTGTAACATAGGGTCCTAATTATTCATAATTGGTAAAAAACTCTATTTTTTTTGAGAATTTTCATATGAAATTGAGATACTATTTTAAGAAATGTTTCTTTATCTATATGGAACAAAAATGGTGTCATTATCATCAGTTAAATCAGGTTAACTTTTAGAATTTGCAGCAGCCTTTTAATTTATACTGAAGGCTCTGTAATTAGACTAAGTTTTAGTTCTTTCACGTTATTGACTTGATTGTCTAAGATTGTTTTATTATTATTATTATTTGGACAGGTTTTCATGTCGATTGATAAATGATAGGATCTACATTCAGAAATTAAATCATCAAATACCTAACATTTGGTCTAGCTATCATTTTAGGTTATTTAGAATCTTATTATTAATTATTATCTGTAGATTAGTATTGTTTATAATAGACATAAGGAGTATTTCTAAGTTTTTTAATATCACTTAATGTTTGACGCTAATCTAACATATATATATTATTTAATAAATCAATCATCTATACTATAACTTAAAACAACTAATAAACATTAATCCACTGATTATAAACTATAATAAAATGGAATCATAGTAGAATTAATACCTTCAAATAGATTATTGTTAGTATATAAGATACCTACACTTTAAAAGAAAGATTCACTGATAAAAATTAATTCCAACAACAATGAAGAAATAACTATTTAAATAGAGATTATTCAGAAAACTGCATCGACTTAAAAAGAAAAAGATTAGATCTTATGTAAAGTGATGATATACAATCTATTAAGAAAATTGTATAATTACAACTATAAATCAACAAAAATACAAGTGAAATATAAAAGTTATTTGATAAAATACATAAGTTAGTTAAATTTGGAGATCCTGATCAATTAAATGTTAGAGAAATGGTTTATCATTAGAAAACTATGTATCAAAAAGTTTCAGTTATTTTTACAAGCTGGGTAAAATAAGATTTTTCATTCTAATTAAACAATTCAAAAAAAATGAAAAGATAAGTATTTTCACATTTAATAATTAGAAATATTTATAACCTAACATAACTGAAAAATAGAAGACAGAGATTATATCAGATCCATAAGGTTTGAGAATATGGTAATGAATGAGAATTTAGGATAACTTTCTTTAAAATTAATTTATAGAGTCCAAGATTTAAATTCAATATTTGAGATCAATGAATAAGGAACATATGTATTGATATTTAATAAAGAGTAGAATAAAATTTAAATAAGGCAAAAAATTACATAGTAAAAGATAGAGTATATTGATTAAAGATTATGTAGATTTAGAAAATGTTTTGTATAATATATATTGTTTTGATTGCAATAGAAGTGTAATAAGAATTCCAATAGTGTGTGAATAGTTTGAATAATAATGGATATGATATATAATCTAAGTTAGATTAATTAATTAAAATGTAAAATAAGAATGGGACTCTATTAGCTATAATGGTAATGAGAGAGTGATTGATTATAGACTGTAGAAATCACTTAGAATGAGAGAGATTAGATCTACATTTACGAAAGTGATGATCCTCGAGATTTGGGGATAGCATTTGCATCAAAACATGACCTTCCTGGACGTTATCTATTGAAGTTGATTGATAGCATTTTGTAACATAAAAAATAAGCATAACACACTATTAATAATGAATAAAAGGTGATTAATGATTAGAAGTCTAATTATTTCAGAAATTCAACAAACTCAACTCCTTATAAGTAGAATAGTTAAATTTCTACTTAAAGTTGTTAAAAGAAGAGTCCTTTATTAAGTAGTAGATCACATTGTAGAGATTTTTCATAAGATGGTAATGTGAAAGATTTATGATTAGTTGGTAAAATGATGAGAGATAATAGTGCTAGGGAAATCAAATAATTGAAAACAAGAGATGAAAATGAATTAACTTTTACACCATTAATAAATAAAAATTCAGAACTGATTGTTGTAAGAGTTTTATGATTCAATATTTATAGAAATAAAAACAATTAGATAATAGTGTAGAATAAAGATTGATTAATTATGGAAAAAGAAAGGAAATTAAGTTGCAAGAATTGAGAATGTAAAAATTACATTCTCAAGATTAATAAAATAAATCATTCACTTATCATCCTAAAACTACTTAAAGATCTCATGAGATTTTGAATGAAAAGACCTAGAGTAAAATATATAAAGATATTTATAATAAAATACCAGAGTATTATTGTAATATTAAATTTAGTAATAATAATTCTTATGTATTAAATTTACCATGTGCTGATTAAGGTATTGTTTAATAAGTTTGGAGAGCAACATTAAAGAAATTGTTTAATATGCTTGATAAAGAATAAAAAGGTGAATTAAGTACTGAACAAGTAGACTTGTCTTAAATGAGTTATGAGATGTTATAAATAGTAGCTCCTGTTTTACTCATAATGGAAGAAAGAGGAGGAAGTTTCAGATTTGACATCTTTGCTAAAGAAGTTACAAATTACTGTGTGAAGCACAACTTTATTGAAAATTTATTTTCATTACTATTATAATGACATTGACTGTTATATTAGATTATATTAAAAATATAATGGGAAATTGCTGTAATGCAAATTAAATGTTAGATCGACACAACCCACAAATTATTTTAGTTACAGACTAATAAAACCATTCTCTTAAACTTGATGGAGCTGCAACAAAAATCTAATCTTATTTTAGAGGAATGAAAGTCAGAAAAGACATTAAATCTATGAAAAATTAATACCATTGTAATAATGAACATGCTCCATTGACTATGGTTGCTAAGTTATCTAGAATGCCTAATTATCTTACTGAAAAAACTAAAAAAGTATATGATGAATAAGGACCATTTCAAGAAATCACAGAGCCAGATTTACCCAAATTAGGACCATATGAATATAATGATTAAACTGTCTATTATGGTCAATATAAAAATGGATTGAAACATGGTTATGGTACATAAATATGGATAGATGGATCAATATATGAAGGTTAATGGTAAAAAAACTCTGCTCAAGGAATAGGTAGATTAATACATTGTGGTGGAGATGTTTATATAGGAGATTGGTAGAATGATAAAGCTAATGGATATGTAAATTATTATGTATAATAGGGGAACGTATATACATGCAGATGGTGCTAAATATGTAGGTTAATGGGTAGATGATAAATAGCAGGGAGATGGAATAGAAACTTGGCCAGATAATTCTATTTTCAAAGGGTAATATTCAATGGGGAAGAAACATGGTCATGGAGAATTCTAATGGAAAGATGGTTCAATATATATAGGAGATTTTGATAATAATTTAATCTAAGGTTATGGAGAATACACCTGGTTTGATGGTAGAAAATATATTGGATCTTGGAAGAATAATAAAATGGATGGTTAAGGGGTATGAATTTATATGAATAAATTAGATATTCACATGGATAGATGGAAGAAGATATAAGGGTGAATATAAAAATGATAAAAAAGATGGTTAAGGAGAATTCAAATGGCCTGATGGGAGAGTATTATATATATTGATAGATTAGATTTATAGAGGTTAATGGTAGAATGGAAAATAACATGGAATTGGAATTTATATAGGTGAATCAAATGTTGAGAAATAAGGCATTTGGGAATTTGGTAAAAGAATTAGATGGATTCATAAAGGGGAATCTATTATTACTGAATGAATTTCTATAATTTATATATATAATATCAATATAAATAATTATGAATAGCACTGCTTAAGTCCTATTTCTAAAAGTTGAATAAGGGAATGTTAATAAAGTTATTGAAATACTTCAACAATATCCAAATTTAATAGACTTTGAAAATTCTAAATCAGGATAAACTTGTCTAACAATAGCTTGTAGAAAGAATGATGGTCCTATGATTGAAAAATTAATTGCATAAGGAGCTGATATTAATAAGACAAATAGAGTAAACTTATAAATGATAAGATAGTTGAATCAATCACCTTTATGGATCTGTTCATTTTACAATTATCGTAGAACAGCTGATTTTCTGTTGAATCATGGTGCTGATGTTAATCAATAGGATAAAGTAATTAAATTTGAGTATAAAAGAAAGGATTTTCTCCTTTGATGATTGCTGCTTAGAGAGGAAATTTAGAAACAGTAGCTTTATTATTGAATGCTAAAGCTAATATCTAACTGTTAAATAAAGTATATTATATATTGCTATTATATAGAATCAAGATACAGTTTTTGATGTTTGTAAAGATTATGAAACTTTATAATTCATGATATAAACATTATAAATAGAAGAAGTCAGAGTTAAATAACCTGACAAATTCAAACCTAAATCATAATAGAATGTTAATTCAATGAAAACAACTTAAACTAAGTTTTCAAATAATTCTTATAGAAGAGAAAAGTCTGAATCCATTCCAAATTTAAATGAAGAACTCTACACTATTTAAACTATGATCAATTCCATATGTGAAGAAATGCAACTCATATTTAATGAATCTATATAGATTTTTAAAGAATCTATTTCTAATAAAATTAATTTAACTGAAGTCAAGAAATCAATCTCTATGGAATATGAAAAAATTTAATAATCATAAAATATTGATGATAATATTCAATTCCAATATGATAATTTTCAATATGAGATCAGTAGATAAATTGGAAGAACACTCTATTCTATTATTCATAATCTTGATAAATCTTAAGTAAAATCACCTTCACCTAAAAATAAAAAATATCTATCAGCTGAACCTTTGATTGAAGCTACTATAGAAGAAGAATAATCAACTCCATTAAGTTAGTTTAGAAATCAATTAAAGAAAGTCGAAACTCCATCTTAAGTTAAAGAACCAATTAGTAGAGGAAGTATTAAAGGAGAAAATGAACAGTTCAATAAAATGATGACTTAGAAATTAGAAATTTTAAATCAAATGATAAATTCTCGAATAGGAAATAAGAAATCATGACTTATTATTACTTAAATTTATTTTTATTATTTATGTAATCTACAATAGAAAATTCATTTTTTGATGAAAAGAATTTTGATTGCTCATTTTGGGAAAAGTCAACATTATAAATTAATATACTTTAAATTCAACACCAATTTATGCTCTTTTAGAAAAGTAAAAAAACAGGATTCTGGGTAAGCAGAAACTTCATCATTTATGATTCTAAATTAATCAAGTTAAGAGTATATTATAATATGTTATATATAAGCCGAATAAAAAAATAATTCATTAAATCGATCTGAATAAGGCTAGAATATAAAAAATAAAATATCAAAATGATAAAGAGAAGGAGAGCTGTAATAAAGTAAAAATGTAATTCATAATTTTTAGAAGAAGTATGGATTTAGAATTATGAGAAATTAAAGATGTAGAGAACTCTATTCCAGATCAAAAGAATTGAATAAAAAAATATGGGAAGAATTAAAAAACCATTCACTTTAGATTACATTTAAATAAGATTATTAAATTGAGAAAATGATTGGAAAAGGTAACTTTACAAAGGTATTTAAATTTTCTTTTACTTTTTAGGTGTATCTTTGTAACAAAAAAACTGAAAAATAGTAATAATATGCAGTAAAAGCTTTCGAAAAAAGTAAAATGATAAACACTGAAACAGATAAATTAGCTTTATTAAAAGAAATATCTATTTTACGTAAGCTTAATCATAAAGGATTTATCAAAATATATGAAGTGTATGAGGATGAGACACATATATATTTAGTACAAGAGTATTTATAGGGGGGTGAATTGTACCAACAAATTAAAAAAGATTAAAAATAGTCAGAAAATATTGTGGCCAGAATAATAGCTACTTTATTAGAATCTCTTTAATATTTACACATGAAATGTATACTACATAGAGATCTAAAGCCACAAAATATGATATTAAGAAAAAAAGGGGATTTGGATAATGTAGTGATAGCAGATTTTGGATTGGCTGATTTTTATAATCCATTAGGAAATTATATATTTTAAAGATGTGGTACACCTGGATTTGTTGCTCCTGAAGTATTATAAGATAAAATTTATGATTATAAAATCGATATTTTTAGTATTGGATGTCTTATGTACTAATTATTAGCAGGTAAATCACCATTTAAGGGATCCACTTATGATGAAATTGTAATGCATAATTACTATTGCAATATAGATTATCAGTATATAGAATCTTTTATATCTACTCCATGTACTTAGCATTCAATATTTTAGGTGTTTAATTATTAAGAATATTATTAAATAATATACCAGCTTAAAGACCAACCCCTAAAGAAGCATTAAGACATTAATGGTTTATGATTAATTTAGATAAGAAAAGATATGAAGAATTAAATAATTATGATGATTAACTTTAATCTACTTAGGAAATGAATAAATCAAGTTTAACAGATGTTGGAAGTTATGGATTTATNTATGTTATATATAAGCCGAATAAAAAAATAATTCATTAAATCGATCTGAATAAGGCTAGAATATAAAAAATAAAATATCAAAATGATAAAGAGAAGGAGAGCTGTAATAAAGTAAAAATGTAATTCATAATTTTTAGAAGAAGTATGGATTTAGAATTATGAGAAATTAAAGATGTAGAGAACTCTATTCCAGATCAAAAGAATTGAATAAAAAAATATGGGAAGAATTAAAAAACCATTCACTTTAGATTACATTTAAATAAGATTATTAAATTGAGAAAATGATTGGAAAAGGTAACTTTACAAAGGTATTTAAATTTTCTTTTACTTTTTAGGTGTATCTTTGTAACAAAAAAACTGAAAAATAGTAATAATATGCAGTAAAAGCTTTCGAAAAAAGTAAAATGATAAACACTGAAACAGATAAATTAGCTTTATTAAAAGAAATATCTATTTTACGTAAGCTTAATCATAAAGGATTTATCAAAATATATGAAGTGTATGAGGATGAGACACATATATATTTAGTACAAGAGTATTTATAGGGGGGTGAATTGTACCAACAAATTAAAAAAGATTAAAAATAGTCAGAAAATATTGTGGCCAGAATAATAGCTACTTTATTAGAATCTCTTTAATATTTACACATGAAATGTATACTACATAGAGATCTAAAGCCACAAAATATGATATTAAGAAAAAAAGGGGATTTGGATAATGTAGTGATAGCAGATTTTGGATTGGCTGATTTTTATAATCCATTAGGAAATTATATATTTTAAAGATGTGGTACACCTGGATTTGTTGCTCCTGAAGTATTATAAGATAAAATTTATGATTATAAAATCGATATTTTTAGTATTGGATGTCTTATGTACTAATTATTAGCAGGTAAATCACCATTTAAGGGATCCACTTATGATGAAATTGTAATGCATAATTACTATTGCAATATAGATTATCAGTATATAGAATCTTTTATATCTACTCCATGTACTTAGCATTCAATATTTTAGGTGTTTAATTATTAAGAATATTATTAAATAATATACCAGCTTAAAGACCAACCCCTAAAGAAGCATTAAGACATTAATGGTTTATGATTAATTTAGATAAGAAAAGATATGAAGAATTAAATAATTATGATGATTAACTTTAATCTACTTAGGAAATGAATAAATCAAGTTTAACAGATGTTGGAAGTTATGGATTTATGAAATATCTTGTTGGTCCTACAACAAGTGATAAAAATGCCTTCTCTACTCCTTAGATTTTACAAAACACAAAAAAATAAGACACTGTCCTTCTTACTCCTTAATATGTCATTATGCAATCTATATAAGAATAGTTTAAAGATAGTTAATAACAAATTTCATTTAATAATATAGAAGATGAATTTGATGATATGATGGTCGAAAAAGAATCACCTCAATCACATAAATTACCATAATATTAATTGATTGGAAAATTGAAACAAATTGTAGATTCAAATAATTCATCTTTTTATGCTTCTCCAATCATAAATGTATTTATTATTAATATTATAAAATTATAGAAAAAATCAGAAATTAATAAAAAAGATCTTAATCATATAACTCCTATCTTGGTTAATTAAATAATTGAAAATCATACACAATCTAAAATGGCAGCCAAAATTATGAATAACTTAAAAAATCTTGAATGATATAATCTAAATTTTTGAATAAAAATGTTAATAAAAATCAATTATTTAATTGTTCTATTAATTTTAGTTTTCTTTTGTAATAAGTTGGCTAGATATTATTATATTTTTGACTATGAAATTTAATTTATATTTTTCTTACTAATTTTATTGATGTATTTTTGATTTCTTTTTAGTATTAGTTACATTTACAATTCTATTAAATTCATTTTTTTATCTATTTTTATAAATTTTAGAATGTAAGATTTGGGTATCTCACATGAAATTATCAATTAATTTGGTTATTTAGGATCATAATTAATATATTTTTTAGAAATAATAATAATGAATTCATCATTCACTATTAGAATATTCAATTAGTAAAAAATACCAATATGTAAATATTCAATCATTCTGAATCTGAACTTATTAATATTAAATTTACAAAGGGTAAACTCCATATTCTTTAGAAGAAAGGCATCTAATATATCGGTGGCAATAAATAATTAAGAGATATTAAATCTTCTTCATCTAAGTTCACTTCATTGGCAGGATAAACGTACATTTTTTATCTTTTACTTTTTCCTTATTTCCAAACCTTTAAAATCTAGCTAAATTGGACTCTGCATTAAGGACATGTTTTATTTTATTTAGCCCAGATGTCAATACAATCGAAACAATAAGTATGCTAACATGTCTATATAATACCCTAACATTATCTATTTCAATTTACTTTATCAACTATTTAACCATAACAAATGCTACAATCTTCAACATGTTACTCATTAACTTCTTACTTTTTTCCTTTATTTTTCTTTATCCTTTTTTTTATTGCTCCACCATCTGTTCCTTATTTCTCACTATCTCTATGCTATTCAAATTACTCCATTATATTATATTTTTATTATTATTAAAATTAAAAACATATTCCTATATATATAAATTTCAAATCCTTTTTTATGATGTATAAATTAATAACCCAACTATCATTTATATAATTATATAATTCTATTATTCACTAAATCTTTACTATTATTACCATCATTTTTAATAAGACTTTTCACGTTCTTTATCTGTTTATTCATTTTTTTATATTCTCTTTAAATTCATAACTTTTTTATAATTAAATTAAAACATTAATTCTTGGCTAACATTAATTGTTAAACCATTTTAACTCTGAAATCACTACCAAATTAATATCGAATAGATTTCAATCAAATTGTTTTGTATATATGTCACCCTAATAAAAGTATATATATATAATTTATAATTATATATATCACAACTCATCCTTTTCTTTTGTGATAGGGCGATCAATATATAAAAAAGGATTGTACATCTCCTTCTTATTTAAGCAAGTCTAATAGATATCTGGTTTCTTTATTATTTATTACAAAGGCTAAACTAAATGAATGGATTAAATCTTTTTTCCCAATAGATATAAATCTCCATCTTAAATAAAAGTTTTTTTAATTGTTTTCGGAGCCTCATCATCAACTATCTTCAGACTTTCAAACTTCCTTTTTAAAAAACTAAATTCAGACATTTTAATTGAAATATTTATTATTTTACTATTCAATAATTCAGAAATTCAGTTGAAACCTTTTAAATTAATTCACAAAAATGTAATAAATTTATATTGATCAAACCTTTCACATAGAAACAGAAATAAATCAATGAAATAGGCTAATTTGAGAATCATTTTATACACACTTTTGAATATAACTGAGAAATTTAGATGAAATAGAAGTAAATTAATTTTAAAATATTAATAATTTAATATGAATGTATTAATAATTTATTCAGCTAGACTATGTTGAAATTGTATAAAATTGTCTGAATAAATCCTAAAAAAATAGGCTAAAAGAGTTATCAATATGAAGATAACATCTATTATTTCAAATATCTAGTTATTTAATTATCATGTAATTTGATGTAATATCTCTGAATATACAATATCTAATAAATTAAATAGATTATAAATCTTCAAAGATACTTTATCAATGGAAGGGACATTAATAAGAACATAAAGGTTCAATAATACGAACGTAGAGTTTCATTTTATTAATTATATGCAGAATGATTTTTTAATAATTTTCTTATAGAGTTAGATTTTTTCATAAAGAAATCCATTTAAAAAAATAATATTGAAATATAAAAAGTTTATAAATATAATGGATGCTTTCTGTGTATTAATTGATTTTGATGAAATAATAATGTTATAGGATAGCAATAATTACATATTATTATATAGTAATAAATTATTATATATTATAAATCTAGAGTAGTTGCTCTTAGTGTGTTAAAATTTAGAAATTCTCTTGAATTATAATTCACATATTTATATAAATTTTTATAAAAACGAATATGGAGGAAAATATGTTTTATTTGGATAAATAGACGCATAAATCTAAATGGCATCTAGTATTGATGACATCATTTGGATTGATTGCATCTTCATATTGTTTGGTTTTGCCTGCTTAAATGTAAACTTAAATAGGAGAAGCATTTAATATTGATGATCCAAAATAATTCTTAACTTGGTTAACATCATTACACTTTTTATTGAACTCATTTTTACCTTTCTTCTCTGGTTTGATAAGAGATTTCTATGGTGATCGAAAAAGCATCATATTTTAAAATGTATTATGTACATTGGGTTAAATTATTGTTACATTTGGTATTTCATCTGGAAGTCAATTTGTATTTATTATTGGAAGAATCCTATTAGGTTGGGGAATAGAATCACTTTTAATAATATTAACATCCTTTATATGTTCATACTATAAATACACATATTTAGTAATTTTAATTTTGTTTATTTTTAGACTTTTGTTTTGGGTATGTTTTAATTTATTTATACTTTGGGTTTTGTACTTTGTATTTGGTTTGCACCATAAATAACATCAGTAGGTGCATCAAATACAATAGCAATTTTAGCAACATCATTAGGATTACTTATGTCGATTGTTGCTATTGATATTGATACTGATGCTTAATCAGCAATTATGAATAAAGGAGGAAAATATTTTAAAAAGAATCATGAAAAATAAAAAAGTTCAACATTACATTAAAATTAAATTGAAGAAGAAGAAATATAAGTAGATTAATAGCCTAATTAAGAAGATTAAATAGAAATAGGATAAATTAAATCTGAAATATTACCTTAAACCTTTTTTGAAAAATATTTAGGATTCTTCAATAAACATTAATATCCATCTATTTATTGGTATTTATTGTGGTTCTATTCATTTGCATCTACTTCAGTTTTAGTATTAGTTGACTATGCTTAAGAATTTTTATATGATAAATGGTTGAATACTATTGATAATGGAGAAATGTTAGCTTGGAAATTAGTCACTCTGATGTGGCTTTTCTCAGGAGTTATAACACCATTGTTAGGATTTGTTATTGATAAATATGGATAAAGATCTTCCCTTGTATTTATGATTTTATACATTAGACAATCTTTTCAGGTTTGATGGCTATTTGGGCACATATCCTTGTACTTTTATAATCTCCATTTGAAGGACTTTTGTTATTAGGATTATCATTTTCATTGTCTTATACAACAGTTTGGAGTGGTGTTTTGTATTTAACTCCACCAAATACACATGGTCGAAGTCTTTCTTTATTTGTGTGTCTATAAAACTTTGGAATTACTATTACTCCATTCATTTGCAAATTTTTTGAATAGTAAATTAGATTAAAATTTATTAAATAGATTAACATCATCAACAATAGTTACTGAAATATTTTTATTAGTCTTAGCAATTATAGCTATGCTTATATCATTAATGGTTTATAGTGAAGATAAGAAATTCGTTAATCTTATTGATAGAGGTCTTGAAGTTGTAAGTGAAGTTTTCACAGAGTATTTTATATTTTCTAATTTAAAAAAGACCCTCTTCCAAATTAAGAAGCAAGGAGCTAATTTGAAATTGATTTAATTATTAAATTTCATATAAAATAAATACAATAAATAATTTTTTTATTTATAACATTAATTCCATTAATTATTTATTAAATTTATATAATTTACTAATCTGCTCTCATTAATATTCTTATTTTTTATTTATTATATTATGTCGCTTTTAACAATATGAATTTAATTTATAGCTCATAAGTTGAATAAAATTATGTCAATTATGCTAATAATGTCATTTTATTATTAATTATTGATATCTAGAAATTTTTTTTAGGAGAAATACAATACAAATTAAATTAATTTAATAATGGATTCTGCTTCAATTATTTGGGATAATCAACAAACTATTATGTTTGAAGAAAGATTAGAAAGAAAGAAAACTTCATGGATCAAACAATTATTCTTTGTTTATATATATCCAATAATGGATGTAATATATAGAAATTAATATTTATAGAAAGCTAATAAAGAAGGATTAGATGAGAGTCAAATCAAGGAATTGTAAACTTAAGAATAATCATTTATGCGTCATTAACAGTTTTCTGAACATTTAAAGAGGATTAACCAAAAAAATTTAGTTAATTTGATATTGAAATATTATATATGTAAATTGTTGAGATATGAGCAATAGAGTATTTTTTCAAAGGATTTTTAATCTAAATAGTAGTACTTTTAAGTCAATTAGCTATGCCTTTGTTAACAAAATATATAATTGGTTATATTAATGAAAAAAATGATAAAAATTAGCATTAAGCCTTTTTACTTATTTTTCTTGTAATATTAGTAAGAATAATAAATTTATTGGGTATGTCTCATTCAAGATTTATGATGGTAATTAATAATATAAAATAAAGAAACTATATGGATTTGACATAATGGCAGTGGTTAGTTTGGAAATAATGAATAAATGTCTTAAGATTTCATTATTGAGTAATACTGAAAGATCAATAGGAGAAATTAGTAATCTAATTTAAGTTGATGTATAAAGATTAATTTAAATTCCAAATAATGTTGTAAATGTGATAATTATTCCTATATAGATATGTAAAGTATATTTATATATATTTAGGTATCACATTGACATATATTTATTAAGAAATTGGTATATCAGTAGTTGTTGGAATAATAATTATAGTTTTAAGCATAATTTAAAACAATTATATAGGTAGTTAAATTGTTAAGGCATAAAGTAAAGTATTGAAAGCAAAGGATAGTAGAGTAAAAGAAACAACAGAAGTTTTTTAGTTAATAAAATTTATAAAAATTAATGCTTTTGAATAATACTTTCAGTAAAAGATTTATTAGTTAAGAGAAATAGAATTAAATTGTATAAAAGAGAGATTAAAATACTTTTCTATAAATGTTTTTACAGGTTGGCTTTCACCTTAAATGATTTTAAGTTTAACTTTTGGATTATATGTAATGTTAGGAAATGAATTGATTCCAAGTAAAACATTTCCTATAATTGGATTGTTATCTATTTTAGCAGCAAGTCTTTAATTATTACCAATTTCATTAAATGATCTTTTAGAGACAAAAATATCTCTTTAAAGAATACAAAATTTTTTGGATAGTGATGATTTAATGATTGATATATATAGTAATTAAAATAATAATGAAAATTATGCTTTGAAGATTGAATAAGGTAATTTTTATTGGAGGAAAGAATGTAATGATGAATAATAAATTTTGAAGAATATAAATATGATGGTTTAAAAAGGGAAATTTATTTCAATAATTGGAGATGTTGGTAGTGGAAAATCTTCTTTAATTTAATGTATTTTAGGAGAGATGATTTATAAAATGGATGAGAATAAATCAAGTATAAATATTAATGGTTCAATTGCATATGTTGGATAGAAACCTTGGATTTAAAATGCAACATTATAAGAAAACATTTTATTTGGTAAACCTTATGAAGAGAAACTATATAACTAAGCAATTAAATATTCTTGTTTAATGTTAGATTTAGAAATATTAATTTATGGAGATTAAACAATGATTGGAGAGAAAGGAATTAATTTATCTGGAGGATAAAAAGCTAGAATTAGTTTAGCTAGAGCTATTTATAGTTAAGCTGATATATATTTATTTGATGATCCACTTAGTGCAGTAGATGCATAAGTAGGTAATTTCATTTTAAAAGAATGTCTTATTAATCTATTAAAAGGGAAAACAAGAATTTTAATTACACATGCATTAAATTATTGTAAATTTACAGATTATATTTATTTAATTTAGAAAGGGGAAATTATTGAATAGGGAGATTATTAGAAAATGTAGAATTGTATTGTATATTAAGAAATTGAATAAAAATTTGAATTTGAATTATAAAAGTAAGAGGAAAATGAATATATTAATGAGAATAAAGTACAATTAATAAATGATAAAGAAATTTATTAAAGTTAAGAATAGAGTAGAGATAATAATAAAAATAAATCTGATCAAATGACAGTAGAAGAAAGAAAGAAAGGGGAAATTGATTCAGAAGTATATGTCAAATATTTGTAATACAAAAGGAATATTATCCATCAAACTATCTTATTTATAGTTATGTTCATTTGGATTCTCTCTTAAATTTTAGCTAATTTATGGGTTACTCAATGGACTAATCGTTATGTTTAATTGGGAGATCATTTTAGTGAATAAACATATTTCTTAATATTTTTATTTCTAGGAATTGTTTAATCCTTATTTGCATATATTCGTGCTGTGATGATTGTATCATAAAGTATAAAATCATCTTCTTAAATTCATAATGATATGATCAACTGTTTGATGTTTGCACCATAATGTTAATTCTTTGAAAGAGTTCCCTTAGGGAGAATTATGAATAGATTAACCAAAGATATTAATTCATTAGATGTTGAAATACACATCAATATAGCATAATTTTCTACAAAGATTAGTTAAATTCTCAGCAATAATTTATTGAGTATTTATGTTAGCACCTATTTACTTATATTTCCATTAGCCATTTTCTTTTACATTTGTTTGAAAATATAGCGATTGTATATGAAAGCCAGTCGAGAACTATAAAGATTAGAATTAATAAGTAGAAGTCCAATCTTGAGTTATTTTACATAATCCTTAATGGGATTAACAACTATCAGAGCATATAAATAAAATGAATTTGTAATGAAAGAGTTTTCATAGAAATTAGATTATAACAAATAGGTTGTTTATTATTCAACAGCGGCTAGTTCATGGTTTCTATAAATTCTTGGTTTTGCTAGTTTAATAGTTAATACATTTGCTATCGGTTATTGTATTTTATACACAAATAATCCTTCTTTTGCAGGTTTGATATTAACATTTGCTGCAAGTTTGGATCGAAATGTTCAATAAACTGTTGATTCATTAAGTTTATTAGAAAATAATATGATATCTTTCGAAAGATGTTTAGAATATACTAAAATAGAATCAGAAAATCTTGGAGAAATAAAAACTATTGATCAATCTTGGCCAAATGAAGGTAGGATTAGATTTATTAATTATTCAGTAAATTACAGAAGTAATCTACCTTTAGTTTTAAAAAATTTAAGTTTTGCAATAAATTCTAAAGAAAAGATTGGAATAGTTGGAAGAACTGGAGCTGGGAAATCTTCAATTACTCTTTGCATTTTAAGAATTTTAGAAGGGATTCAAGGTTAAATATAGATAGATGATATTGATATCTCAAAAATATAAATTTAAAAACTTAGATCATAAATAACAACTATATTATAAGATCCAGTGATATTTTCAGGAACAATTAGATAGAACCTAGATCCATTAAATAAATGTAGTGATTAAGAAATTATGAAAGTTGTAGAATAAAGTTGTTTATTATAAATTATTAATGAGAGAAACGGATTAGATACTCTTGTTGATGAAGGAGGTGATAATTTAAGTGCAGGTGAAAAATAATTAATTTGTATTGCAAGAGCAATATTAAAAAAAAGCAAAGTTGTATTGATTGATGAAGCAACTGCTAATATTGATATTGAAACTGAATAAAAAATCTAAAAAACTATTTAAAAATCATTCGAAGATTGTACAGTGATTACTATCGCTCATAGAATTAATACTATTTTACATTGTGATAAGTAATATTTTATATTTATAATTCAAGAATACTTGTAATTAGCAAGGGTGAATTATAGGAGTTTGGTTCAACTAATGATTTATTAAATGATAAATCTTCTTTATTTTACCAAATCTATTAAGAAGCTATAAATCATGATTGATTAATAACCTTAAATATTGTAATCTATGTATATATATATATATATATTATTAACAAACTGATAAATATATAAATATTTATAAAATGAAAAATATTATAAGGATATCCCATTATAAAACAAATTCATAAGTAATTCTCTAAGCAATAAATTATGTAATACGTTCCATTAACAACTCATTTGAATGCTCTTGCTTCACTCTATTAATAATGTGCTACCTTATCTGAAAAACATGATCGATTAGCTAAAGGAATGGACATTTTCAATACAGATGTTAATCAAATAACGATTGCACCTATGATTGATTAAGAAAGAATTATCCAATATTAAAACTCTGAAGCTTTCTAGGTTTTAGATTTAGCTTCCTAGAAACCTAATTCTCCATAATCAAGTTAAAAGACACCTGTTGAAATTGAGTAATCAATTATTTATTAAGGTTTAGTTTAATAACTGACTAAGAGGTTCTAATTGAACAAGGAACTAAACCAATATCAGGTGAAACTAAAAAAATTAAAAAACCTAAATTAAATTTGGATTGCTCTAAATCACTATAATGTCCATAATGCAAAAAATTAGTCAAAAATTCTGCAGGCTTAAAAAGACATATATCAAGAATGCATTCTGATAAACCTTTAAAAAATTTGACTAAAAAAATGGGAAATCAAAAACAAAAAGGAATTTAGATTCTAAATTGAATTTATTTATTTTCTAAAATAAAAAAATATGTAGCATCTATATTTTTAACATTCTTAACAGGTAAGTTATTTAATCAATATACATGTATATATATATAAATATTAATCGATAATCAAAAAAAATATAGATCAAAATTTACTCAAATTTTATTCAATAATGATTATAATTTTATGGATTAATAAACATAGCCTGTGTAAATTTCTTTTGGTGAGTAAAATTGCAAATGTGTTTCAAATATAGTATTTAACAAAAGACATGTTTTTGCTGTTGGAACTTGGAATGTAAAGAAAAATAATGAAGTAACAATTAATTTAAATTAATTTTTTTTTGCAGATTTATGTTAATGAATATTTAGAATTAGAATAAAAACTAATATAATTACATAGAATACCAATCAATGGAATGGTTGAAAAAATCATAACAAAAAAAGAATAATTATATGTCATCTATATTGATCGTAATAATTAATTGTTAGCATTTAGCATAATAAAGAAAGACTAAACTATGTTGTATAGAATTAGCTGATAATGGTCGATATTAAGTCAATTTTGATTTATTATATGAAGGATTAACTAAGTATTGCATTTGCTTATAAAAATTAGTGTAATTTGTCCAGAAGATGATCCTACTATTTATTTGAGTTCAAATAAATCAATTATCTAATTTGATTTAAATAAATAATCTTTTGATAATATTATTGATGATAACGATCTTTATAACTTATGTGAATAGGATCCACATCATAGGAATTTATTTGTAAGATCCTAAAACAATTATCTATGTATATAAGACACAAGAGAAAAAAAGTAATCTACACTCTAAATTTTTTTAGAGTAACCAAATTCAAAGCACATAGTTTAGAAATATTAGATATAGATTTTAATCCTAATAAATAATATTACCTTATTACAGGAGGTGAAGATTGTTTAGCTAAAGTTTGGGATATTCGTAAAACATAATATGCAATTAAATCTTTTGAAGACTTATAAAATTCTGTTCTATAAGCAAAATTTAATAAATTTCATGACTAATTAGTCTCATTATCATGTAAATTATCAATATATAGGTAGTTGATGATGGTACTATTTCATTATATAATATTACATCAGTTTCTTCAGTGCCCTAATTGAATAAAGAAGATGATTATTTAGTTAAGTAGTACGATGAACATGAAGATTCAATCTATGGATTAACTTGGTCTAGAGGGACTGCATGGGTCTTAGCTTCTATTGGATATAGTGGTCATATGATAATAAATACAGTTCCAACGACTGAGAAATATAAAATATTATTGTGAAATTATATTTTAATATCTATGTAAAAGTTTTGTATATTAAAATTATTAAAACACTAATACTATCTATTTGATCTCTAATTCATTATTATTAATAATTTATATATATCATTAAGCGTTAAATCAAATATATACTAATTATTATTTCATGAAATTAAAATTAGGAATAATCGTTAGGAAAAATTCTAAATTTAGAAATAGAGTTATTTATTAATTGAATGATAAGCTTTCCTCACAATATAAATAATTTGTAAAGAAATATATTATTATAAAATAATTTAATTTCTCAAGTGGTTATGATTAAATTAAGAAAAAAATAAATTTTGCTGGAATATATTTAAGAACATAAAACAAAATGGCATTATTATAAAAGTGGAAATAATTATATCATTGAAAAAGTGTTTAATTAATATAGAACATCATAGCTATCACATAAATTTATTAATATTTTCTTGTTAATAATATAACAGACATGTCTTATAAGAAGGATAACAGGATGGATAAGCTTTAAATGAGACTAAAGGAAGTTGAAGAGGAGAACAGGGTATTGAAACAAGAATAAAATCAATTAATATCCACTTTATTAAAATAATTGAGTGAATTATAAGAATAAAATCGTCAAATCTTATCAAACAATAAGAATCAAGGAACTATATTACATGAACTTAACAAATTATGTGGAACCAATTAGACTAATATAGATTTATTGCTTTTGGATGTTAATCATAAAATTTAAGATTATAAATAACAATTAGCATTATTAGAAAGAACTTGTAAAGAGTATGAAGAGATAGTTGTACAATAAAACAAATTGAAAGAAAAAACTGTAAAGAGTGTTTCATCTTAAAAATTTATCAATAATAGTAAAAAGTAGAGTATGGAATCTTTGGATAGTAATATAAAATTAGAGTCTTAACTATTGGATGAAGAATAATCATTATTAGAATTGTTGGAGATTCCATAAGTTAATAAATTGTGTTTAAAAATTGACTAATTAGGTTAGTAGATAATAGAGAAATTGAGAGATTTTAGTTAAAAACGAGATAGTAGACATAGGTTGGTTGAGTAACTAATACCTCTAAAATAAGCACTTATACTATGAATATAATAATATATAATTAACAACATTTATTCAGTTAATATATAACACAAAATAACACAAATCATAGGTTAAGAGCATTCATTCCAATTGATCAAAGAAGGTGTCGAGATCATCTTCATAGTTGTCTATGAAGTTCTTGATCATAGGGTTTTCTGGTCTCTCAATTTCAGTGAAATATGATTCATATGATTACGTTGATGAGACACTCACAGAATCAGTTTTTATTTGTTAAACAAATCTAATCAATGGTTTTGGTTGTGTAATTGTATGAGTGTTCATATGTATATAAAAATCTTAAAAAAATTATTAAAATTATACTTAACTCACATCAGGTATTTTATAATGCAACAATTTTTATCATTGAAATAGCTAAATGAACAAAAAAAATAATAATAAAGGAATTTGATATCAATATAGGAATAAAACTCACAAGTGGAATAAGAAAGACAAAGATAATTATCAGAGTAATGAGAAAGAGAAAAAGTAAATATATAATTTGATTGATATTAGCATGAAAAATTAGTAAAGAAAATAAAAATTAAAGATTAATATTACAAAACAAAAAGATACTGAAAGAGTGAAAATAAAAAGACTAGATTAAGAATGTATAATTCTGAACATGATAAAATATAATAAGATGAGATATTAATAATTTATGATCTTCCTCCAATTGAAAAGAAGGAAGTTTCAAAAAGATTAAGAGATTTAGGAGAAGCAATAACATATTTTTGTGAAAATGATTGGTAAAGATATAATAGATTAATGTAATTTGTTTAAGAGAAGAAAGAAAATAATCAAAAAGAATTAGAAATAAAGATTTTAGATGGAGAAGATAAAAAGGAAATAAAAATGTTTCTTAATAAGATAAAGGAGAGAAATTTAGATCCAAATACAGCAGTTGTTCCTATATTTTAATGTAAAGGAAAAGAAGAAATTGAATAATAATTATTAGATGAAGTATCACTTTTAACAAGATGTTAAGATGTATATTTATGGTGTAAAAAAATGTTAAGAGAATGGAATATAGGTGTGCTTGATAAATTTAATACAGAAACAATGAAACATAGTTTAGAAGGTTCTCAGGCATAAAATTTTTATAAATAAACTTTAGATTATATAAAACCATTAACAGACTAATTATAGAAAGCAAAAATGATTTAATTAATTAATGAGGAGATTTTGAATGCATTATAATTAATAATTAGATTTTGTGTATATAAAGAATATGTAAGAGCGTATGATAAATATTTAGAATTAGCAATAGGAAACGCTCCATGGCATAAGAATATATAGTTGATCAACTGAAAGAACTGGTAGATCTAAGATCTCAAGTTCTTAAATTGCTCATATTTTAAATGATGAAACAGAGACAATATATACAAACTATAAAGTATATAATAATATATGATGAAATTATATTATAAATTAATATATTAAATAAATTAAGATAATTTATTACCATGATTTAATAACAATAGGAAATAGTAATTGAACCACCTCTCTATTTTGCAAAAGATCATCTATTTGACTTAAACTTTCATCCTTTTTAAGATGTTGTATGTTGTGCATAAGTAACAGGAGTAGTAAATATGTATATATTTATATCCACAAATTAAGATTGAAATATTCATCTGATGATGTAGTTGAAATTGCAGCATTTACTCATCATTAATCATCTGCAAGAATTAGTTAGTTCTTTAGAGATGGTCAACATCTTATTACAGCTAGCAAGGATTGTTCATTTGCTATTTTAGATTAAAATGGTTAAATGATATTACATTAATTGAAAGCTCATAAGTAATATGATTAATTTAATTAGACATGCTATTAATGCACTCAAATAATTAAATGATAGTATTATTGCTACAGGAGATGATACAGGAAATATTAAAATATGGGATCTAAGATAAAATTAATGTGTTTTTAAAGTTAAAGAAGCTGAAGAAGCTATTTCTGGAATTGAAATAGATTCATCTAATAACTTATTACTTTCATCAAGTTTAGATGGTTATTTAAGTGTTCATGATCTGAGATTTTAAAGTACTAATGAAAAATCTTTATATGCAAAAAGTGATTGCATGGAAGAAGAATTAACAGATATTTGTTTGGTAAAAAATGGTTAATTCGTTTGTACTTCAACTAGTGAAGGAAACTTATTATTATTTAAATGGGATTATTTTGGAGATTTTAAAGATCGTATCATTGGACATCCTAATTCTATTGATTCTATTGTAAATTATTTTTTTATTGTATAAATTAGTGTAAAATAGATGAACATACAATAATAACTGGTGGTGAAGATGGACTTGTTAGAGGAGTCTCAGTTTTTCCTAATATTATTACTGGAATTTTAGGATAGCATGAAGATAATTCTTATTTCCCTATTACTAAAATAGTTGTAGATAGAACATAAAAAATTGCAGCTTCATTATCACATGACAGTTCAATTAAATTTTATGATATTGCGGATTTTGTTAATAAAAGAAAATTAGCTAAAGTTCAAATAAATGAAACAGAATTTGAATATACAAATAAATAGACTTAAAAAGATATGGATATGGAAGAAGATTCAGATGATGATGATGATGATGATGATGATTCAGATGAAGAAGAAGATAAATAGAAAAAACAAAAGAGTTTGAAAACTAAAAATCTTTAACAATCTATTGCAAATCTTAAAAAATAAAAGATTAAATAGTTTTTCGACAAAATGTGAATATTTTTGTTTATAATTAACATTTTTATTTATCAATAGTAAATAAATATAAAACTAATAATCATCTTATTCTTTATGGTGATGTAACTTAATTAATTATTTACTCTAAATTCTTTCTTTATTAGGGAGATTAGACTCTTGATAATAAATTATCCAAGACAACTTCATGTTAACCAATTTCACTTTTAAAATTATTTTTTACAGGATTAAGCATATGTTAAATCAAATTTTAGATCTTATTTACTTTAGTTGACTTTTTCTCTGAATTAAATTAAGAATTAACATTAACACCCCTAGTTTTAAGATGTATATTTTTAATAGTGATTCTTTAATCGACAATACATTGTTCTTCATCACCTTTTGGAGGATATTAAATGACCTAATTTTGAATCGTAACAATTTAATTTTTTTCAAATATTCCTTCAGTAATCTATTTTGAATTGTAATTTAAATAAAACCCTTAGATATTATATAATTAATTACCTTATCCTTAAAAGAATCCATTTTTTAATTGACCATCATATATATCTCCACTTTTAAATATAATTCTTCCCTTTCCATTTAATGAACCATTCTAAAAATATCCAAAATCAACTCTTCCATTTTTATAATGAATGACTCCTAAACCAGTTAAATCACATTATAATCCATACACAATTCTATCATGATGAATATATATTTAAGGTAATTAAGCCTTCAATATTGAATCAATATTTTCTTTTTATTAAAACTCTTCATTTACATTAATACGCATTCCATCCTTATATTAAACAACTTCTTTTCCTCTTCTACATGTTTTGATTCCTAATCCTTATTATTTACCTTCTTTAAAATTTCCTTAATATAATTATCCATTTTGATAGGATAATTCACAATATCCATTTGCTTTACCATCTTAAAACTATCCCTTAATATATCCACCAATATTAAAAAAATAGATACCAACTCCATGTTATACATTATTTTTCCATTCTCCATAAAAAAATCCTCCTGTATTTAAATGACATGACCCTATTCCATTAGCTTTATTTAATTTAATTTATCCCCAATATTCTCCAACAGATAATTTAAGATATTAAAATTATTATGATTTCTCGATAACTTAAGTGATTGAGTTAATTTTAGTTGAATTACGATTAAGTGACAAATTTTCTTTACCTCTATATTTCTTCTTAATAAAATCCTAACTCATATTTTAAGGTATACACTCCTCCATATATAAACTCATAAACGTTAAATTATAAAATTAAATAATAAGTAATGAATCATTTCAACCATTAAATTAATTTACCTTCCTACCATAATCCTTTCTTAGTCCTTCCATCAACTGTTATATAAACTCCATCTCCATGTTAAACTCCTTTTTACCACATTCCTCTAAATTCTTTCCCATCCACCCATTTATATTCTCCATACCCGTGTTTTTAATCATTTTAATATTCTCCAACATACTTTCTACCATCACTCCAACTATATTCTCCATGTCCATTCATCCTACCATTTTACCATTATCCTATATAACTTCTACCATCAACCCAATAATAAGCTCCCAATCCATCAATCTTATTATTCTACCACTCTCCTTCATAATAACTTTTATCTTTCCAAATATATTTCCCTTTTCCATGCTTTAATCCTTTGTAATATTATCCTTCATATATTGAACCATCAGCCCATTTCTCCTTACCATATCCATTTTAAAGATCATTTTCCCATTCCCCTTCATAATATGCTCCATTTGAAGACCTCATTATACCAAAACCACATGCCTTACTGTTTTTCCATTCTCCTTCATATTCTATCTTATCAGCATGACGAAATGTTCCTCTCCCATTTGCTTTATTATGTTCCCATCCTCCATCATATAGAGCTCCATCTGGCCAACTTTAAACACCATTACCATGTCTCTCTTTTCCTAACCATTAACCATTATACATTTTAGCTAATCTTAAATTCATTATTATTCATTTTACTTTTTTTATTTCTATTCATTTCCCAATCGTTCAAAATAACTACCTGTTGTTTTACTTTCCTCTGTTTCTACACTACTTTTTACTTACTTTAAAAATGGAACCTATTTTCTTACACAAAAACCTCTCCATAAAGATTATAATTTTATAACGGCCTTTGTTTTCCTTGATCTATTTCCTACAATATCCACAACACTCTTTGTTTTAGGTTTTGTATTAATTTCACATTTATTACCCAAAGTGATAAAATAGTTATAGCATCTTATAGATAACTTTTTGAACTTTTTCTACTTAATGATTCTTAAGGTTTTTCTGATAATATTTGATGTTATTCACTTTTCTTGAAATAGAATTTAAGATGATTACTAATATTTCAATATCCCTTTTGTAGCAACCTGCACACTAACCAGTACAATTATTACCCATAAATTTTAATATATAATTTAAACTCATTTCTTTTTTTTTGATTTTTATGTATTTTCTTAAACCTAAAATGACCTTCTCTTTTATTCATTACTTTTTGATCCTGCGTAATTATATTATGAGACAATCCATCATGAATCAATTTATTGCCAATTCCTTCAAATTAAACTCAATATTTAAAATAAGTTAAGTATCTTATAATTATATTAATCCATTCATTATTTGTATTATTTGGTAAATTAAGATTTCATAAAGTTAATTTAAGTTTGTTAATTAATATAACAATATTTATAGATAGCATAGTATTTTTGGATAAATCATATTGTTTTATCAATCATAAATAATGAATAGAGTTTAATTATCTTAGATTGATATTGATTCGTATGAATTGATGAGTATTAAAGAGTGTTCATTTTACATTGTATAAGTATAATAAGAAAAGAAGGAATTTCGATAACCTTTCACATTAATAATTAAATTAATGAAATCATATACTATAGATAAGGATTTAGGATAGGGAACATTCAGCAAGGTGAAATTGGGGATTCATAAACTTACAGGTGAGAAGGTATATTAGTTTGTATAATTTGAATTTAGGTTGCTATAAAGATTATTGACAAGACTAAATAACAAGAGTCGGATTATGTTAGGATTCACAGAGAGATTTCAATTCTAAGAAAACTAAGACACCCAAATGTGGTGTAGTTATTTGAAGTAAGCCATTTGCATAGTAGATTGTCGAAAGTGATACTAAGTTATACATTGTTACTGAATATGCAAGTGGAGGAGAGCTCTTTGACCATATAGTACACAATAAACGTCTAGAGGAAAGAGAAGCTGCTAGACTATTTATTTAACTCATTCATGCAGTTACTTATATTCATGAACACCAAGTCGTTCATAGAGATTTAAAACCAGAAAATGTATTACTCAATGAAGGTACATTAAAAGTAGTTGATTTTGGACTATCATCAACTTATTAAATTGGATAAAAATTAAAAACTCCTTGTGGCAGTCCATGTTATGCTGCTCCTGAAATGTTACAAGGACTTTCATATGATGGTCTATTTACAGACATTTGGTCCAGTGGAATCATATTATATGCAATGATTTGTGGGTAATAATACTATTTCATATATATTTACAAAGATGTGTCCCTTTTGAAGATCAAAATACTAAGAGATTATATGAGAAGATTAAAACTTCCGATTTTCATTTACCTAAACATGTTAGTTTATAGGCAGCTGATTTACTTAAAAAATTATTAATGAAAGATCCTACATAACGTATTACATTATAAGAAATTAAAAATCATGATTTCATTAAATTTGCTGGTAAATATTCCATTCCATAACCTCTTAAAATTGATAATGATATTGTGCAATAAATGGTTTAATATGGATTATCTACTCAAAATGAAATTATAGAAATGATTCAAAACAACAAACATAATTAAATCACTACTACATATTATCTTTTGTAAAATAAAAATTCATAAACCTAATCCTAATCTACATCACAAGCCTTTAATAAAATTACATAATAACTCATTTCTCATGTTCCGCATAATCAAATAACTGAAAATACTCCTTTCATTTTTAAAATTAAACTTAAAAGCAAATCCCCTTATCAATAATAGGATAAATAAAATAATGATGTCACTTTAGGGTAAATTACACAATCTCCAAGAAAAAATTATTTAGAAAATCAACACAATATTTCTATTACTAAAAAAATGTATAAAATTTTCATTTCATATTCCTTAGACGATAAAAAACAAGATCATAAGAACCTATACAAAAACGAGAACCATCTCTTAGTAATCAATAACCACTTACAAAATAAACAAAATAATCACAAATTGGAGAATTCTTCAAAAAAATTGAAAATGATTAATTCTAAAATCAACGATAAAATGTTGTACCTTAAGGATATAATAAATTTATTATCACTGAACGTGTTAGTATGTAAAATAATATATCCATTTCTAAAATACCCTCAAGATAAGGAAGATTATCATTCAAAATTGAATAAAAACCTTTGTAAACTTAACCTAATGAAAGCAACAAAGATGGCAAACATTAAAAATCCAATTCCAATACCAAAAAACCTACTGAACTTAGCTCTAATTAAAAATTATTACAAATGGATTCTATTGCTACATCAATTTAAAATAATATTCAGAATAGATTTCTAATTTATAAAAAGAAAATTAAACAATGAGAATAAATTTTTGATTTTCCACTTACAATAAATTTTTATTTAAGTTGATTTCTAATAATTATATCTCCACTTATTTATTTTTAAAGTTATAAAATTGTTATAATTATTTTTTTAAAATCTTCATAATATGACAGAAGTCAAACCTCCACGAGAGTCTTTGGTCAAATATGAAAATCCAATAGAAGTTAGCATTGCTAATGATGCAACTAGAGGATTGTAAGGAAAAAAGAAATCATAACTTTCACCTTTAGAATCCAAACCAAATACAGAAGTAAGAGATGAAATAAGTTTAGGATATTTTGAATGCCATATTACCTCCAATTGAATGGGATCATGATGGAAAACATTATATTTAATATGTTTTACACGTTCCAGCTACAAGAGAAGATGTTGGAAATTTATAAAAACTTCTTGATGAGAGATTATTAGCAAGATAAGCTAGGTTATTATTTATTAAATATCTTTAGAGAGACTGGAATTTGTCCAATTAGAGAAGAATTATTGAGTTAATGTTTTGATGAGATTATAAGACAAGTTACAATTGATTGTCCAGAAAGAGGTAATCAATAATAACTAATAAGATAGGACTATTATTAATGAGAGTCAGAGATGAACTAAAAATGACTATAGCTGCTTATTAAACATTATACAATTCATCTGTTACATTTGGTATGAGAAAACAATTGTAAGCTGAAATGGGAAAAAGTGAATTGGAGGAAAAGATAGTTTAATTAGAATAAAGGAAATAAAAACTCGAAGAAAAGGTATATTAATCTATATTACTATTCAGAGAATTGATTTACTTAATAAAAAAGACTCTTTGGATAAAAAAATTAAAGAAAGAAATTAAATTGAAGAATAAAAGAGGAAATAAGAAATTGAATTTCTCAAATATTAAGGATAACACCTAGAAGCATTCTTAAAATCCGTTTAACCTGAATTGAAGTGATTTTCATATTATAACAATTATTACAACTAGAAGATTTTAATACAATTTATCTCTAAAATATATAGATATATAAAATTATAGATTTTATTATCTATAATTTTTGACATTTCTCTTTTGAATATCACATTAAATAATTTTAATAATTTTTTTTATAATGGGATAGATTTCAGCTTTATGTTGCAAAAAAGACTAAGTTATAATTATAGAGAAAAAAGTAACTTAAGAGATTGTTGAAGCTTTTACTATTGATGAAGGAAAGGAAGATTTAGAAAAGAGAAATAAGATTATTAAAATTTAGGCTAATTATAGAGGCTACAGAGTTAGGAAAATCATTAAATTAGAATTAAAACAACCATAAACGAAATAATTAGAAAGTTAAGGTGAAACGGTTGATATAGTAGCTTATTCTGGAAAAAGAGAAACTTTAAAATAAAATGTTGTTGCAGCAATCAAATTCAAGAAAGATCAATTATTGGTGAAAAATACAATGAATTGCATAGAACCAATTGAATTACCTAAAATAGAAATGGTTGATGGAAGTACATATGAAGGATAATGGATGAATGAATAAAAATGGGGAAAAGGTAAGTTGGTTTATAAAGATGGTTCTATTTATGATGGACAATGGAAACAAAATGTTGCATAAGGGATTGGAAAGTTAATTCATAATGATGGAGATAGTTATGAAGGTGAATGGTTAAATGATAGAGCTAATGGATTTGGAATATATATTCATTCTAATGGGGCTATTTATAAAGGATAATGGAAAGATGATCAACAAGAAGGAAAAGGAGAAGAAATATGGCCTGATGGTTCAAAATATGAAGGGGATTATTTTGAAGGAAAAAAACATGGTTATGGTAAGATTCTCTTTAATGACGGTTCAGTTTATTAAGGTCAATTTCAACATAATGATATACATGGCACTGGGGTTTATAAATGGTTTAATGGAAAAATTTATGATGGATAATGGATTCAAAATAAAATGAATGGATATGGTACTTTGAAATGGCCTGATGGAAAGAAATATGTAGGAGAATATTAGAATGATGTTAAACATGGGCATGGAATTTATTACTGGGATGATGGAAGAGTATATGATGGCATGTGGAAAGATGGTAATTAACATGGAGAAGGAATTTATGTAGATTGTAATGGAGTTTCAAAGAAAGGAATATGGGAGGGTGGAAGAAGGGTTAAATGGATTTGATAGTAATTGAGTTGGTTTTTCTTTTGTAATTAGTTGTGAATCAATAATATATCTAGATTAATTTATTAATGAATTAGATTTAATTAAATAACTGAAAATGGGCAATGTGAATACTCTGAGAAATTAGAAATCAGCTGTTCATTAAAAGAAAGAATATGTGCTAAATGATATTCAATTAAAAATTCAATAGAACCTAAATAAATAGAAAAAGAGCGTAAATTCTTAGTTAAAAACATCTTAAACGAGGATAGAATGTAGTAAAAATAAGAAAAATAATTTAGGTCCTTTAAATACGAATAGAATTTAATGTTAATCTGGACGAAGTTTATTGGAAGATTAACCCATACTTTTTTATAGATGAAATAAAATGTTTTCAATATATTAATTATTTTACTTATGCAAATTCATCCAATTCAAGCTATAAATACTACTACAAAAGAGGATTCTTAAATTCACATAAATGGAAGTGAAGAGAAATTATTAAAGACTAAATAAACAATACTAGATCGTTCACCAGTAAATTAGGAAGCATTGAATACTTATCTAAAAAGTACTCATCCTACTGATCCTGATGATAAATTCTATGATTGTTCAAACTGTTATGATGTGGATGTAGGTTTCAATTGTTGCTGTAGTACAGAATTTTAATCTGACATAAATTAATATGGAGCTGGTATTACTATATATTTTAGATTTCTCAAATAAGTATTACATCATAGATAATAATGTAGATCATTTTATACTTTTTACTATTTGCTATAATGAGCATACCTTAATTGATCTTTTCCTTATCTTGTGTTTAAGATACCTTAACCCTCAATTCAATGCTAATGGGAACAACACTAGGATCATTGAGTCTGTAAGGAGATTCTTGTATCAAAAAGTCTTGGGATGATGTTATTTAAAATGTATAAATCAATAATTCATATATAGAATGATTTGACTCTTGATTAAGCTACTATCTTGTAGAAGACTACATTTTAATGTAAATCTGGAACAATATCAGCTTAAAATTTTGTGTTAGGATTTATATAAGAAGATAGGAATTCTATCCCTTGTACTTAATATGATCCATCTTAAGCTATTACTAATTGCACTAATTTAAATGCATTTGCAGAGATATAAAATTAATGTATAGGATACTAATCTTGTGAATTTATTATTAAAGAATCTTTGTTTGACAATTGTCCTAATATGCATAAAGATCATATAGTTTATGCTTATTCTTTTTGCTAAGATTCTGAATTCTCGATAGGATCAATAAGTATTAAGAATAATACAGTTTCTATAATTTGTGCATATATTGATTTGGCTATTATATTGATATCTACTATCTTTCTCTTTACGTAAATATTTATAATTTAATTTCAAGCTTGGAAAGATAAGAATAAGAAACTATGAAAAATGTGAATGAGAGTGAAGTTTTTGTTGAAAACTTTTCTTTGGAATTTCAAAATCTACCTGAATGCTCTGATCCCAGAGAGTTGTTTTAAAAATTAATAGAAATCGAGTTATAATTAGCTAAGAAATTTCCTCAAATTTCAAGCTTTCATATCGTTGATATTTAATTCTCGAAAGGAAATAAATCAGTATTAATAGGAGAAGAGAGAGCATAGACAATAAAAAAAAGAAATAATCTTGTTAGAAGATTTGAAAATAAATTTAAAGTTTCTGTAGTTACATCAATGGATTTAAAATAAAACTTAGCAACTGCTGTATTGACATAAACATTGAGTTAATTGTAATAAAAAGATAATGCATAAGAGTTAATAGGTGAAATTGAAAAATTAGAAAATCAAATTTCTGATTATGACAATTAAATCTAAGAGCCAGAAGAACTTAATGAGATTATCAAATATGCTTGGATCACATTTGAAACTATTGAATAAAGAAATATGGCATTCTTTGTTTATTAATAAGACTATTTACGAGATTTATTTTCATGTTGTGGATGCAATGAAATTTTGAAAATAGACAATGCCATAATCAAAGCATAACCAGCCCCTCCTCCTGATGATATTAATTGGATGAACTTACAGTATAGTACAATAGAATTGATAGCTCGCAGAACTCTAAGTTTTATGCTTACTTTTGTACTGATGATTTTTACTATTGCAGCCATTATTTTTTTGAAGTACTATATCTTATTAATTCAGATTAAAACAATTAGATTATTAATCTAATTATCCTGAACCAAATTGTACAATGTACTCTAAAATAACTGAGAACGATGTTATTGATGATTAATAGAAAAAGAATTTCAAATAAGGATTACTTGAATGTTATTGCAAAGAAGACTTCCTTAATAGAATCAATATGACATTTAGCAATGGTGAACAATTATGTTAACAATGGTTTAATGATTATGTTAAAATTGTTGGATGGCCATTCTTAATTGTAATTGTCATTATATTCATAAATCAAGTCATTTAATTAATATTTACAAGTATATTTTCAATTCATAATTATTATTAGAATTTGCTGAATTTGAAGCTCATCGCTCTAAATCAAAATAATTATCCTCTCGACTTTTGAAGGTATTTATTGTGTAATACATAAATACAGCTTTAGTAATTTTGATTATCAATATCAAATTTACAAGCGAATTAAATTTATCATCATTTTCAGTATGGTTAAATGGTAAATTTGATGATATCAATGTTTAATGGTTTAATCAAGTAGGAACAACTATAGTAATTAATAAATGTTATTTTTAGTTATTGACTATGGTTATATATATTATAGGCCCATTAATAAATATTATGATAAGCAGTTTGATTAGGTGCTTTAAAAAATGTTTTGATTAATGTGGATTGGATGAAGGTCAATTTACAAAAAAATTAACTCAATAGGATTTGAATGAATATTATACAGGTTCCGATTTCAACGTAGAATTAAAATACTCCTAAATTCTAACTGTTATTTGTGTTAATTTCTTATATAGTTCAGGAATGCCTCTATTGTATTTAACAACAGCGCTTTTTCTCTTCATTACCTTTTGTTCAGATAAATATTATTTATTACATTTTTGTAAGATTCCACCAAAAGTGGATGATAGTATTGCAAAATTGGTTAGATAGATATTAAAGTTACTTTTAATTTGGCATACAATATTTTCAATTTGGATTTATGGATCAACTAAATTGTTTCCTGAAACAGTAGATTTTACTAAATCAATATAATCTTCTTCAATAGTTCAAAATGCTTAAAATGATGTATTTGGAGAATTCTTTACAAGAGCCATAACAAGTTAATGCATTGGTTTAACTTGTATGTTGATTTTACTTATCTTATATTATATTCTTTGGCCATACTTAATAAGCCCAATTTTGAAAACAATCTTTTTCTTTTGTTACAGTGAATCAACATTATTTGATAAAGTGGAAAACACTTTTATATCAATGCAATAATCTCTTTATGAATGTAAATGAAATTAATTTATTTTTAGTGTATTCGTAAAATTAAGGAAATCAATTAAAGGAACTCTTAAGAATTTAAAGGTAAGATGCTTAGTAAAAAGGACAATAATAATTTGCATTATTAATGGGAGAACGATTAGCAAGATTGCAAGCACTTAAGTTTTTTAAGGGATTAATAAATGGACTTCATTCATATGACATTGTATTGAATCCTAAGTATTCTTAATATCACAACCTTTGAATGAATATTTAAAATAATATGTTATTTGAATAATATAAAGATTATGAATATGATCGTAAGAAAATGGAATTGGAAATAGAATATCATACTCCCAAGACTATTTTTATTAAAGCTTTTGGAATTGAACTTACATTTCGAGATGTTTGGCCATATTTAATGGAAGATGATAGAAAACTGAAATTAGTAATTCTCTAATTTATAGTTCAATATTGTAAAACTATGATTCCTAAATGGAAGACAACTGAAAAATATTATGAGAATTTCGATCATGGAAATATTGAAAAACCAAATGAAGAATTTTCACATACCTTTTATTTTTTCTAATATCTAGATGAGTGGTCTTTGTGTATTTATTCTAGAGAACAAAATACCTTATATAGTTATGTTCTGAGTGAATCTACTTAAAAGAAAATTAAATCAATTTTTATAGATAAAGGAATAAAAGTGGATTAAAGAATAAATATTCAATAGACTGTGACTATAGCTGAAGAAGACACAATTGTCATGATCAAATTACTCTATTATATATGTAAATAATAAGAATTAATATTTTCAATTGATTAAGAAGTAGCTATAGAATGGAGAAAGATGGTTAAAGTCGTAGATTTATTTTTGTTTGAATTACATAAGCAATATAAAGAATAAATAGAGAATTAATAGAACAGTAAATCTTAAAAGTCAATAGAATAATCTAATCCTAATCTTTTTCTTAAATAAGATTCTAAATCAATCGAATTCAATCCTGATAAATCTAAATTTGGAGAGGCTCCTAATTCTAATTAATCAGTGGAATCTAAAAAATAATAATAATCATTTGAAAAATCACTTAGTGTGTCCAGAATAAGACATGGTTAAGTGACTGATGAAATGGTATAATTGTCCAAAGAAGAGTATAATTATCTCATTGAATCATTTAAATAATAAGTTATTAAGGAACTCTAATAAATTGAACCATAACATCCTACCATGTTCTTATAAAAATATTTAAAAGGGAATGGAGATTTGATGGTTAAAAAAGATATGGAAGGAAAAGATGAGCTTATTGTTAAATTAAAAGGTGAACAATTATAAGTACTCTTATAATAATATGAAAAATATTATTAATAATAAATCAATAATTAAGAATTTGAGAAACAATAACAATAGATCAAATAATAGTATTAATAACATATGTAATTTTAATAATTACTTAATTATTATTATCAACATGATCCTTCTTAATACTAAAAATTAGTTTCAGAATATTATAAAAGATTGAATGAATAAACATTATCAAAATTGAGACCACTCTTTCCATAGAATATGTAATAACAAGAATCATAAGGAAATATAAGTCAATAAAGTCTGAAAATTCCCTACTCTCCTTAAATTCAATCTCTCTCTAATAGCAAATCAAGTGATCGATACAACAAACCCATTAATACACTTCCATAACCAAGTTTTAATGTTTCAAAATCTTTCAGTTAAAATTAATAACTTTAAAACAGTGTTAATTTTACTAAATCAATAGATCCATAATTCAAACCTTCTCCTCAAAATACTATTGTCTGTTCAAGGTATAACAAATAAATCACCTATTCAGAAATCAATCTCTTACAAAATAAAGGAGAAATGACTGAAAATTAACTCAATTTCTATATCAGATATTTAGAAGAAAAGTAATCTTCTCTTTAATAAGGAACTCTTAAATAAATGAAATTGAGAATATTTTATCTATCTACAACTTTCTATAAAAGCCTAATTAAAGAACATAATAATCCTGATAGTATATCATATCAATCTGCATCTGTATATACCTCTAAATATATTGGCAAAGATAACACAATATTTGATAAATTTGATATTATTTTGATACCTATTGTTATTGCTTCAGGTTTAGAAACTATTCTTATCAATTTCAATCTAACTTCATAGACTATTTATTTTTATGATAGCTTAATTAATGGTGTAGGATCCTAAAGTATGGCATAGTCTCACATTGCTCAAAATGGTTTATTAAATAATCCATTTTTGATGTGTTGTTTAAGATTCTTAGAAATTGAGTATAATTAGAAATTCATGAAGACCTTATCATTATTAAAATGGAATATAGTCTATTCACCACATGAAAAAATTATAGAAAATTCTAAAACTAATTCAATGATAGCTTTCTTGATAACGCAAATTTCTAAAGGAATTCAAGTTGAGAAGAGCTTTAATATATAGCTTGATCTGGCTAAATTTACTTCAAACCTTATAAAACTTTTCTCTTAGCTTGGTATTACTCAAAATAGAAAGAATGAATTTAATTTAGAGAAAATGGTATTATGATCATTGTTATTTTTTTTTATTTTTGTATCATTTAATGAAATAGAACCATTCTTATTGATCAAACTAATAAATCGAAATATATTTTCAAGTAATTACTTTAAATTTTTTAATTTACAAATTCCATTCATTTTTTTTGTTTCTTCATCTTTTAAATACGTTTCCTCTGCCACTTTCTTATATTGATTGTGTTTAATAAAGGAAATTTGTAAAATTCAGAAATTACTAATTAACAGATGTTTATTTTAGTTATTTGATGTCGAAATATGAATTTTATGTTCTATTTTTGGAAAATTCATGTTATTGTTTATATTATTCTATAATAATATCACTTAAAGGCGCATAGATAATCAGATATTTTAATAATTTTTTTAATTTGCAAAATAAATATCAAGAACACTTAGGAATGTCTTAAAAAAAAACCAAAAGTATGAAAAAAGGAGTGTCAAACTTCTTACTCAAAACCTACAATATCATTATGGTATTTAACTATTTATACATGTTCGAATATTCCTAAATTGATCATCAGAAATTTTGATGATTTTAGGAATTAAATTCTCGAATTATTATATATATTCAATTGATTATTAATAACTTTTAGAATCCAGAAAACTAAGATATTATTGATTTTACTGATAAAGGGAATGCATTTGTAGTTAAAGATCAAACCAAATTGAGCAATGACATCCTCCCAACTCATTTTAAACATCATAATTTCAGTTCTTTTATTAGACAATTAAATATGTATGGATTCAAGAAAATTCGTAATGTTAACAACCAAAATGAGTTTAGTCATTATTATTTCAGAAGAAATATGGAGTATATAAAACATATTAACTTAGGCATTTGTTGATAAATATAGCAAGAAGAAATGGTGGGGTTAAGGCAAAAAAGGAAAAATCAATATAAGTGAAAAATAGTAAGGTAAAGTAAATTCCGAAAGATTTCTTTGATAAATTTGATTAATTGAAATAAGAGATACAAAATATCAACTTAGAATCGAATTTCTTTAGTAAATAAATTGAATAGGTATCCTTTTGTAATGCTATTAGTTTTAAAACACATAATCCACACTGCTTGAATCCTATCACTCTTTATTTATGGAATTTAGTTTTATAAAGAGCAAGCGTTAAACTTATAGTGATTTGATATGCCAACTATTATTTCGATTAACCAACGCTTCTCAGAGTGATTAAATACTAAGTTTCTAATTTTTTATATAATTTTAGATATGGTTCAGAAGTTCAATAAAACAAATTAGAATACCATGAGCAATGGAACTGGCAGTTCAGATAATAATAATGAATAGAATGGTGGATCCAGTAAAGATGGTATTTTTAAGAATTTATCCTAGATACAAATTAGAGTAATGGGAGCAATCCATAATTGGAGGAAGAAAGAATAAAGCCTGTTTGATTAAAAAAGTTTTTGTTACTATTAAATTATATTATTAGTTGTCGAATAAAATTTATATTAATTAACTATTTGATTTTTTAATTGTTAATGCGACTTTTTCCACTTCAAACAATTTTTAATTACATTTGAGAATGTATCAATGAATATTCCATTCTGAAATTTCATGCGTATTGAAATTAGATATCAGAAAAAGATTTAGTAATAACATAAATACTTTTTATAAAACAAATCTATATATATATTTGGTTGAATCCAAAATACTAAAAATAGTATGTATATATTGTTATTTCATCTGTGGAAGATATACAAAATTTTTTCCAGCACCTAATCAATAAGTACAATGCAAACTTTATGTTTAATTGTGAGATTGCGATTCACTATTTTTGTAATCATAATTAAATAGTAATTTTTTGAGGATAATGTATTTTAAATTTTCTATTAAATTCTAAGCTTAAAAAAAAATTGAATGAATTCAGATGAACAATTTCATACATAGAGATTTGAGGCTAATCTTTAAAAATTTAAAGTAGTTAGAAAACATCTTAATTCATTTCAAGGTGCATAAGTTTCCGATTGAAAATGTAATGTATAGATCTATTGAATATACGCCACCTGAAGAAGTATTACTGGATTTTAAAATTGATACTTGGTTGTTAAGGGTAATCTTATTTTATTTAACTATTTTAAACAACATAAGAATTATTACATGGTTCATTTCCATTTGATTATAAAGATTAACAAAAATTGATTAAAATATCTTACAAATCAATTAATAATTTCTCGAAGAAATTACATTAGCGAATTTTTCACCTTTACAGCTTCAACTATTAGCACCCTAAAAGTAAGTTAATCTATTAAATTCTTTAGCATCTGCACATAGAGTTTTTGAAATATATCCATCCCAAGTCTTTGTAATACAATTATTTACAATAAAAGACAAGTCATAATTTCATCCTAAAATTGATGATTAATTAGAATATTAGTATTGCCATTTTAATAGGGGAACAGAACCTCCTCCAAAAATTGTGATTGATACTTGGTAATCATTACCCAATCGATCTCCTTAATAAGGAGATCAAATTAGATCATATAATTTTAATTATTCATAAGTTTAAAATCATGATCAAATTTGTTTCGTCAAAATGATATTTTTCATTTTATTATTACAAAAATAGATAAATTAAGTTATGATTAGTTTAATTTAGTGTAAATACATTCTCTGCAGGGACTTCTACATTGTCAAAATAAATAGGTCCTGTATCAGAACATTTCATTCCAATTTTATCTAATTTTTTACCTCTTGAAAATCCTTTCATTCCTGATTAACAATGAACGCAGTAATTCCATGTTGTTTCTTCTCAGGTTCAGTTTTAGCATAAACTACTATTACATCTGCCACAGGTCCATTTGTTATCCACATCTTACTTCCATTAAGTATATATTTATCTCCAACTTTTTTTNATTTATATTAATTAACTATTTGATTTTTTAATTGTTAATGCGACTTTTTCCACTTCAAACAATTTTTAATTACATTTGAGAATGTATCAATGAATATTCCATTCTGAAATTTCATGCGTATTGAAATTAGATATCAGAAAAAGATTTAGTAATAACATAAATACTTTTTATAAAACAAATCTATATATATATTTGGTTGAATCCAAAATACTAAAAATAGTATGTATATATTGTTATTTCATCTGTGGAAGATATACAAAATTTTTTCCAGCACCTAATCAATAAGTACAATGCAAACTTTATGTTTAATTGTGAGATTGCGATTCACTATTTTTGTAATCATAATTAAATAGTAATTTTTTGAGGATAATGTATTTTAAATTTTCTATTAAATTCTAAGCTTAAAAAAAAATTGAATGAATTCAGATGAACAATTTCATACATAGAGATTTGAGGCTAATCTTTAAAAATTTAAAGTAGTTAGAAAACATCTTAATTCATTTCAAGGTGCATAAGTTTCCGATTGAAAATGTAATGTATAGATCTATTGAATATACGCCACCTGAAGAAGTATTACTGGATTTTAAAATTGATACTTGGTTGTTAAGGGTAATCTTATTTTATTTAACTATTTTAAACAACATAAGAATTATTACATGGTTCATTTCCATTTGATTATAAAGATTAACAAAAATTGATTAAAATATCTTACAAATCAATTAATAATTTCTCGAAGAAATTACATTAGCGAATTTTTCACCTTTACAGCTTCAACTATTAGCACCCTAAAAGTAAGTTAATCTATTAAATTCTTTAGCATCTGCACATAGAGTTTTTGAAATATATCCATCCCAAGTCTTTGTAATACAATTATTTACAATAAAAGACAAGTCATAATTTCATCCTAAAATTGATGATTAATTAGAATATTAGTATTGCCATTTTAATAGGGGAACAGAACCTCCTCCAAAAATTGTGATTGATACTTGGTAATCATTACCCAATCGATCTCCTTAATAAGGAGATCAAATTAGATCATATAATTTTAATTATTCATAAGTTTAAAATCATGATCAAATTTGTTTCGTCAAAATGATATTTTTCATTTTATTATTACAAAAATAGATAAATTAAGTTATGATTAGTTTAATTTAGTGTAAATACATTCTCTGCAGGGACTTCTACATTGTCAAAATAAATAGGTCCTGTATCAGAACATTTCATTCCAATTTTATCTAATTTTTTACCTCTTGAAAATCCTTTCATTCCTGATTAACAATGAACGCAGTAATTCCATGTTGTTTCTTCTCAGGTTCAGTTTTAGCATAAACTACTATTACATCTGCCACAGGTCCATTTGTTATCCACATCTTACTTCCATTAAGTATATATTTATCTCCAACTTTTTTTGCTGTAGTTTTCATAGAGACAACATCAGATCCAGCATTTGGTTCGCTCATTGCTAAAGCTCCTATCCATTCACCTGAACACAATTTTGGTAAATATTTCTTTTTCTATGCTTCATTTCCATGTCTTTACAATTAAGCAACATTTAATGCACTATGAGCTGAATAGTTTAATCCAATTCCACCTGAAGCTCTACTGATTTCTTCTAATATCATGCAATGCGCAGAATATGATAATCCTGATCCACCATAAGCAGCTATTAAATTATAAATATTTCATACAATCTACTGTTGCTCCTAATAATCCTAAATCTCCCATCTTTCTCCATAAATGTGGTGGGAATATACCTTCTTCATCTGCCTTCTCTGCTAATGGAGCTACTTCCTCTTTTGCAAATTTTATTACATGAGATTGTAATTCCTCTATCTCTGAAGGTAAATTTGAAATAAAATTGAAGTTCAAAAGAGAAAAGCTATATCTAATCTTAATTAACTTTGAAGGCATTTTTTTTAATAATACCAATCATATACGCATCATTTTAATAATTAATAATCTAAGGCTTTTTTTAAAAAAACTAAAACAAAATATTGTTTATAAATATTACAATTTTTTTTTAGAATTTTATTTAAATAATTTACATATTTAGACCCTATCTCTATTACACTTTCTTTTACGTTTAGACTTTCTGGTATAAAAAATTTGCAGAAAAAAGATAAAATGAAATTTCTTAAATATATATCATTAAGTGTTCAAAAAAAATAAGAAACAAAAGGGTTTATATTCTTTGGATGATATAATAAAGTTCTTTGATTTTATTTGATCAATCATTGACTGCATACTTATAAAAAAAGCTATTAATGACTGTTAAAGAAAAATTTAATTGCCATTGAAATTTTAATTTTAAAGATCATGATCAGAATAACATTAGGCGCTTTATTCAGATATTATATTTTTTTAAATTATCAATAAACAAGCTTTTATTGTTCCTTAAAATTCATCCTATCTTTAGTTTTTTCTCTTCGAGAAACTATTACCAAGATTAATTGCTTATATCAATATTGCAGTGTAGAAGTAAATACTTGTCAAAAAGACTAAACTTGGTAACTGAAGATCATTTATTCTAGGAAAAAATAAATAGCTGATTGTTATTAGAATACTATGGATGATTTATCCCCAGCGAATATAAAGAAGCAAAGCAGCTGTAAGAATAATTAAATATTTTATGTATGATTTATTTTAAAGTACTAATTCTTATTTGAAAGTTTAAAATTTAGCAAAGTGCAAGCAGAAAAATTGTCCAAATAAATTAGTGATCATATAATATAAAATAGATTTATTAAACATAAATATTTCTTTAATAATCAATGCAAATTAAATATCAAGCAATCATTCTAGGAGGTGGAGAAAAAGCAGGAAATATGCTCTTTCCACTCTGTCAAAATTTTTCTAAAAGTCTTTTACCTATTGGCAATAAACCAATGATTCTCTATTAGTTAGATGTTTTAGAGACAGCAGGATTTGGACCTTAAGATATTTTAATTTTGATAACAAAAAATCATTAACCCGTTGCTGATTTAGTTTAGAGAAGAGCAGAAATATTTTATGTAAGTGATGATTCTGAATCAGGATCTGCACTATTGGAAGCACAAGAAAAAATTAAAAAAGATTTCATTCTTCTCTCTAATGACATATTGATAGACGCTAATATATTAGACTTGTTGGATTTCCATTATTCATAAAAAGCAACAATCACATGTTTAATTAAAGAAGAAGACTTAGATAAAAAGTAAGGAAGAGCTCCAATATCTTGCAATCTTGATGAGTCATTTGATATCATGTTTATTGGTTCTAATAATAGTTTATTACACATGACTACTAAATAAAATGATGATGAATTAAATCTTAAAGTAAGTAAAAATGTTCTTTTGAGTTGTGAGAGTGTGTAAGTAATGACTAATTTATTTGATACTCACATTTATGTTTGCAAATATGATGTATTANTATCTCTATTACACTTTCTTTTACGTTTAGACTTTCTGGTATAAAAAATTTGCAGAAAAAAGATAAAATGAAATTTCTTAAATATATATCATTAAGTGTTCAAAAAAAATAAGAAACAAAAGGGTTTATATTCTTTGGATGATATAATAAAGTTCTTTGATTTTATTTGATCAATCATTGACTGCATACTTATAAAAAAAGCTATTAATGACTGTTAAAGAAAAATTTAATTGCCATTGAAATTTTAATTTTAAAGATCATGATCAGAATAACATTAGGCGCTTTATTCAGATATTATATTTTTTTAAATTATCAATAAACAAGCTTTTATTGTTCCTTAAAATTCATCCTATCTTTAGTTTTTTCTCTTCGAGAAACTATTACCAAGATTAATTGCTTATATCAATATTGCAGTGTAGAAGTAAATACTTGTCAAAAAGACTAAACTTGGTAACTGAAGATCATTTATTCTAGGAAAAAATAAATAGCTGATTGTTATTAGAATACTATGGATGATTTATCCCCAGCGAATATAAAGAAGCAAAGCAGCTGTAAGAATAATTAAATATTTTATGTATGATTTATTTTAAAGTACTAATTCTTATTTGAAAGTTTAAAATTTAGCAAAGTGCAAGCAGAAAAATTGTCCAAATAAATTAGTGATCATATAATATAAAATAGATTTATTAAACATAAATATTTCTTTAATAATCAATGCAAATTAAATATCAAGCAATCATTCTAGGAGGTGGAGAAAAAGCAGGAAATATGCTCTTTCCACTCTGTCAAAATTTTTCTAAAAGTCTTTTACCTATTGGCAATAAACCAATGATTCTCTATTAGTTAGATGTTTTAGAGACAGCAGGATTTGGACCTTAAGATATTTTAATTTTGATAACAAAAAATCATTAACCCGTTGCTGATTTAGTTTAGAGAAGAGCAGAAATATTTTATGTAAGTGATGATTCTGAATCAGGATCTGCACTATTGGAAGCACAAGAAAAAATTAAAAAAGATTTCATTCTTCTCTCTAATGACATATTGATAGACGCTAATATATTAGACTTGTTGGATTTCCATTATTCATAAAAAGCAACAATCACATGTTTAATTAAAGAAGAAGACTTAGATAAAAAGTAAGGAAGAGCTCCAATATCTTGCAATCTTGATGAGTCATTTGATATCATGTTTATTGGTTCTAATAATAGTTTATTACACATGACTACTAAATAAAATGATGATGAATTAAATCTTAAAGTAAGTAAAAATGTTCTTTTGAGTTGTGAGAGTGTGTAAGTAATGACTAATTTATTTGATACTCACATTTATGTTTGCAAATATGATGTATTAGAGTTGTTCAAACAACTTAGCAAACAAGGATTAGATATATAAAATTGGAAAGAAGAATTCCTACCTTTTGTTATAAAACATTAAAAAAATATAAATTTGCTAAATTTAATATCCAAAAAGGAGTAAGAGCTCTTTCATGAAAGAAAATAATATTAATTTTCAATTAAAGTCTTCATTACCAAAGAGTATGCAAGAAGAGTAAATAATATCAAAGATTATTAACAAGCAAATTTTGAAAGCATGATTTAGGGAGATAAAAGAATTCCTCTTTATTAAGGATTGCAAGATTTGCAAAATTAAGTTTAATACCCATAGGATGCTCGTATCAGTCCTGATACTATAATTGGGGAAGGAACAAGAATAGGTAATAAGGTGACAATATAGAGATCAATCATTGGTAAGAATTGTACTATTGGGGATCATGTAAAAATCAGTAATTCAATAATTATGAAAAATGTTGTGATAAATTCAGAGTATATTTAGTTAATCATATTAAAATAGCTGCATCATTCAACATTGCATTTTGTCAAATGAGTCTGCTATAGGACATGGTACAGAGTTAAATAAATGTAATTTGGGATATCTAGCATCTGTTGATCCAAATTAAAAATTAGGAGATGAATGTATAATTAGGTGATGTTGTAAAATATATTGAAATAAAAAATATTTATAAAAAATGTTTGTGAATACAATTACATTTTTGATTTCTTTGATATTTATCTATTCTCTAGGGAATTTGTACCTGCTCAGGATTACATATATAAATAGGGAGAATGTGGAAATAGTAATTGGTTTATTGAATCAGTTTATATCATAAAATTATTATTCTCCTGAAGCAATTTCGAAGGAGGTAATTATCATTGTTAATTTTTAAGTTTAACACCATTCTAGTTTAACCTCAGCATGATTATTGCATCAAATCAGATACTTATAAATATTTTCATCAAGATATCGTTATGAATGATACATACACATTCAGAGAATATCAAGGTGTTGTGAAAAATGCATTATAAAAGTACTTTTTTGATGTCTTGCCTAATCTTAATCTATACAGAAAAAATAAAGACAGTATGCTTCCTCATTATATAAGAACCTCATCAATTTAAATTGCCACTCAAACTTACATTGCCATTTACTTATTATGATTAATTAGTACAAAATTTTAAGGTTGGATAATGTAAGAATTTATTAAAAAATATAGAATCTTTGTGCTTATTTTAAAATTATAATCATTTACCTTAAAGAGCCTCTTTATCTCATAAGAATAGATTGATGACAAATTAGATGAACTATTTACGAATCTTATATTAGAATCACGCTGATGCAGATTGTATTGTAATTATTTAAATTATTCAATAGAAAAATGCAACATATCTACCTAAAACTTACAGATTATTTAATGAATAGGAATGCTAGAAATTTTTTAATTACATAAATTCAGAAGAATATGAAGAAAAAATAAGAACAGAGGGCCCTTAATTTATTGTTAAGATGGGAAAAGAAGTACATAGAGGACGTGGGATTAAAATGTTGTTTCCTCAAGAGAGAGAAGAATTAAATAAGAAATTTGATAAAGGAGAATTATGTGGTTCAGTAAAAACATTTAAAGTGGCTTAATAATATATTGGAAATCCTCTACTGTATAAAGGTCATAAGATAGAATTTCGAGTATATTGGATATTGGCATCAACAAACCCAATAATTGCTTATGCTTATGACAAAACTCTAATTCGTAGATGTATATTTCCTTTTGATAAATTTTCTCTTCAGAAGGGAGCTCATGTGTGCAATACAGCAATAGTGAAAAGCACTTTGAAAAAAATGCAGAATGAGGATGATGATGATGATGATAATGATAATGATAGCGATGAAAACAATGACGATGATGATAATAATGATGAGATGAATAGTTAGGAGGATAGTTTATTTATAGATTGGAAATTAGATCATTTATAAGAGATTTTGTTGAGAGAAGGTAGAATAAAGAATAAGAATTGGTTATAGTAGGAATTATTACCATAGGTAGATAGAATGATAATTCATGCAATTAGGAGCACTTAGCATACATTTGCAAAAGATAGTAAGTTAGGAGAATTTTTTGCAGCAGATTTCTTATTAAGTGATGAATTAGATTTGTATATAATGGAGATAAATTATAATCCATAGACTCTAAATACAACAGAATCAAGAAGAGAATAGCATTTTAAGATGGTATAGGATATGGTAGAGATTTCGAATGCTTATTTGAGAAGCAGATTCATTAGATTTTAAAAGATAATTAGAAGATTAGTATAGGAATTAGAGTAGAAGAAATAGAAATAAAAAGATTTAATAACAAATTAGATTGGATAGGAGATTCATAGAGCATATTTTGATAGATTAGAGTCTGGAATAAGTATAAGTTCAAATAATTTGTTTCGATTATTGATGGATGAGAATTTGGATGGGACAAGAATTTATAAGGATTTATTATAGGAAAGATGCTTATTTTGAAATATAAACAAAAATAAATTTGAAATTAAATATATTTTATATAAATGAGTATTCCAAATTCAGATTATTTGTCTATGATAAAGAGTAAATAATAGTAGTAACAACAACAATAATAGTAATAACAATTCTAGCAATAGTTTTGTTATCCAATGATGTATAATTATTGAGAATATTTATAAAAGGACTTAATAACCTTGGAATTATTGGATGATGTAGTAATAATAGTTCCAACAAACACCTTAAATGTAGATATCTTCAATGTTAGGATAATAATAAATGGTGTCTCCTGTTTCACCTTTGAATGTTTCGATAATTCCTCCTTAATTTTTGTTGCAACCTCATTAGACTCAAAGCAAATTATCAACATCTTAATCTTAACCACTCTAGAATAAATAATATGTAGAGGTGAATGGGACTAAAGTGAAAATGAACATGAAATTAATAAAAGATGACGATGACATGCTTGATTATGATGAAATTAAAAGGGAAAAACAAAAAAGGAATAATTTAATAAAAAAAAAGAAATGAATTTTGTGTTTTATGATAATAATTATTTTATTCACTTACCGTTGAAATTAAAAATTAAAAATATACAATTATTATTATGCTTGTTTAACAGCAATAAAGATAGATACCTTCAACACCAATCCCAGGCAATGCACGAAAAGTTATTGAGAATTTTAGCTATGCTTTAACAGATGCAATTGGAAAAGGCTTTAGTTCCATTGTATATAAAGGCAGAAATGATGAAACTAATGAAGTAGTTGCCATAAAGGTTATAGATAAAAAAGGACTCAAGACTCCTTTACATTATCAATTACTTAGATCTGAAGTTGAAGCTTTATCCTAACTTAATTCAACAAATATAATGAGATTATATAAGGTATACTAAACAGAAAATAATACATATTTAATCACTGAATTTTGTGATTCAGGAGATCTTGGTTAATTGATATCTAAATCAGGAATTTAAAAAGAGTCATCGATGTAAAAATTATTCTATGGCATTATTTAAGGTTATAAGTAAATGAAATTGAGAGGTATGTATTAAATTAATCATTAGGTATTGTTCATAGAGATCTTAAACCTGCTAATATTCTACTAAAAGGATCTGTTCCTAAAATTGCAGATTTTGGATTTGCTACTACTCCTTAAACTGCTGCCACAATGCCTAATGTAAATGTTGGATCACCATTATATATGAGTCCATAAGCATTCAAAAATAGATATTCTGAAAAATCTGATATTTGGGCTTTAGGTGTAACTCTTTATGAATTATTATTTGGGTAAGTTCCATGGTAAGCAGGTAGTGAGAGAGAATTAGCATAAAGAATGGCTACTGTACCAGTTTAATTCCCAGGTTACATATCAGATGAATGCAAAGACTTTATTTATAGGTGTTTGATAGTAGATGAAAACAGAAGAGCTTCTGTTGAAGAATTGGAAAATCATATATGGTTATCTAAATAAGAATTATAACCAATCAAAGGTAATGGATTCTCAAGTATGTTCAGAAGTAATCAGTAACACAATCCTCATTAACTTCTTTAAAATAATAATTTTGCAACACCTTTAGTAGATAATTAAAATAAATAATCTATATCATTTTAACAAAGAGAATCTAATTATGGAAAAGAAAATGCTATAACTATTAAACAATCATAATAATCAATCATGTAATAACCATTAAAATCCATCAAAAGAGTCTAAGAATCAAGAAAAGAATCATAAATAAGTTAATAAATGAATCAAGAGTAATCAAGTTAGAGAGAGGATGATTGCTTAAATGATTCTAAAAAAAATGATTACATCATTCTTGCTTAATTAAATTTCTGTAGATATTTGTACAGAGTTTCTGCTCTTATGGATAAATATCGCTTTGTTCAAACACCTTATTTAAGAGAAAAACTTTTGTTTCTAGTAAACAAAAATATAATGATTAAAATAAATTGTTTGAATGAAATAATTGAAGGATAAAACACTTTAGGATTAGAAAAGTTCTAATAATATATATAAAATCCTTAATATTCAAAATTATGTGCAGCAATCCATTAATATAATCAAAAATATACTCTTCAATTTAATACAGTTTGGTTATCATTATAAAATCCAGATTAAAAATAATTATTAGTGGTAGATAAAAAATTCGATGCTGTTTTTGATGACAATTTTACTGAATATGAATCCTTCTATATTATTTTAAATTCAATACTAAGAAGTGCTATAAAAGAGATTGAGTATTAATTAGAATCCAAAATAGTTATTTAAGATACTCAATAATTATTACCCATAGATATAGAAGGTGGTGTTATTTTACTTGATTATTTAATCACTTACTTTTAATTGGCATCACTAATTTAAGAATGCTTTGAGGATCCTTATGAATTTGCTATTGATTCTAAAATTGAATAAATTGCTGATGGTAAACCTGTCCGATTAACTTATGGTCACTACATTGAAATAAGAAATAAAATAAAACAACTTGATATCTGATATATATTATTATTATTATTAATTATTATGACTGAATTCGATGTCATTTTAGTATCAAGAAAATAGGCTTTCCACTTACTTAATTTTCCGATCACTTAGATGAATGAGTTTGAATCTGTTTATTAGATTGACAAAATTAATTACAAACCAATTTCTACCCATATTGAACTTATTTATGCAAACAAGACTTTGGAAGATCAGAGATTGGAAGCAAAAGTCTAATTTAATTCATAGATTATTAATAATCGTACATATTATGCTTTGTCGAAATTGGATGAAGTCAATAAGAAAATATATCTTTATGTAATAAGTAATTTTTAAAATATGCGTGTTCAAACAACTAAAGATGCTGAGGTTGAGAAACAGCCATAGTAATTACAATAATAGCAATAATAATAATAATAATAATAATAATAAATTTTATAAAGAAATATTATAAACATTATTAAGAGATTATTTCAAAGGAGATGACTGTAGAATTAAAACGATGACATTGTAATTAAGAAATTCCAAAAAATATAGAATCTACTAAAAAAATGTCTTCTGAGGAATATATGAAATATATTTTCGAAAATTGAGCATTGTTTTATTTTTCAATAAATATTTATTATTATTATGAAAGGAGTTTCTAAATTGAAATATCGAATAGTTTATTGTTCAGGTGAAGATCAAGACTATCCAGTGACTGAATTACTCACTCAATCACCATAAAGCAGAGGATGGTAAGCACCAAAATATTGTGAATATCCATAAGAAATAGCAATCTAATTTGTTAATGCTGCAAGAGTAAGACAAGTATAATTCTTGTCTCATCATTGTAAGATATCTACAAAAGTAAAATATATTCGATTTCTTTTAGATTGAACTGTATGTTCACATGCCAGATAAGAATATACCTCCACAATATAATCAAATCAAATATAAGAAATTAGGATATTTATCCCTTGATTCTAATGAGAGAGGAGGATATTAAGCAAGAGAATTAAAAAGTGTATATATTGACACACCTTGTTTATTCATGAAATTTGTATTTCAAAAATGTTATGTGAACAAATTTAATCTCTTTAATCAAATTGGTGTAATAGCTTTATCAGTATTTGGTGAACCTCTTGATTCCCCTCCTGGATATGGATAGATGAAATAGAAAGAATTTTATAATGAAATTTAATTTGAAACACAATTTGATCAAAATACACTTGAAAGATTAAGAATGTTAGAAGAAGCAAAAGATAAAGGTATTTCTCAATTAATTATAAATTAGCTGTTTAAAGAGAAGATTTTATGGAAGCCAAAAGAATCAAAGAAGCAATTGAAAGGTTGAAATAGATAGGAGTACAATTAAGAACACTAGAAGAAAGAAAAGCTGTAGCAATATAAAATGAAGATTATGATTCAGCTAGCATTATCAAATAAGAAATAGAAAAATTAAGGAATGCTGTAGCACCAGATTCTATGATACGAAGACCAGATAGTGCAGTAATAATAATTAATAATTATTTAGTAATATTAATAATAACCTGTTTATTAGCCATAACAATAATTTTAATAGTAATAATAATAATAATACTATTAATAATAGTAATAATAATAATATTAACCACCACCTATTCAATCATAAATGGCTTTTACACCTCCTTACTAAGCTCCTCCTTAATAAATTCCAATATAAGGAGAAGAAATGATATCATAATCCTAATTTGAAGAATAGAGAGCAGATCCTTCATAAATGAGATAAAAAAGAATAGCAAAAGAGCTAAATCAACATCATGAAGACATGGTTGTTCCAGCTGCTTTAAAAAAATAAAATAATAATTAATATCCTGACGATGACAAATAGTAATAATAATAATGTAATTATTTATTCATATTAAAAGATACAACTGAACCATTAACAGGAGAGAGTTTATAAAAAGCAGAACCCTTAATTCCTATTTTAACAGAAGAGTTTTGTTAAAAAATATTTAGTAAATAATGGGGAGCTAGAGAAGATGGACTTAAATGGTTAGAAGATTAGATCGGAAGACCAACTCAGGTAAATTCTTAGGATCCATCAATTTTCTTTTTGAGTTCAATTGCTTCTATTAATTATACTCTTGGTGATAAAGTTGCTGCTGTATCAATACGAAGTTTAAGTGTTCTTTAATCGTTGCTTGCTAAATTTCCAAAAATAAAAATTAATAAGAGTGCTGAATTCAATGAACATATAGATGGAATTCTATAATCTATTATGGAAAAACTAGGAGAATAAAGAAAAGAATAAGCTGAAAATACATTTTTATAATTGGCAGATCATCCATCTGTTGGTCCTGCTATTTGTGTCTAACATTTAATTAAAGGTTTTGTTGGTAAATCTAAATTATAAAGTTCTACTAAACATATTGTTGGGAGATTGGCTATGCTTACAGAATTAGTTAAGAGATATGAAATCAATAATGCTAATATGCCATATTAACCTATTGTTGATTTTGCAGTAAGATTGCTGGACGATAAAGTATTCTCTTTTTAAATTTAATTAGAATGAACCAATTAGAACATAAGCTATCTTACTTTTGGTAGAAGTCTATAAGTTCTCTGGAAATAGACTTAGGTAATCATTAACAAATGTAAGATAAGCATAATTAGATGTGCTAGAAGATTTCTTTAATAAAATTGATGGAGGAGGAGATGTGGATGATCAACCATAAATTAATTAATAAAAACCAATCATTTAAACTAATATTGAAACTCAGGGAGCAAAAAAGGGAAATCAAAATTAACCGTAAAATTAAAAACAATAACAATAATAAAAATAATAATAATAATAACAATATGATTAACATAATACAGCAAAATGCGATTATTGTGATAGAGTAGATCCATCTTTTAGAGATTCAGATCAAATAGATAAACATCTTTGGTCTGAATGTCCTATGTTAGTTACTTGCTCTTAATGTGGATAGGTAATTGAAGTAGCTGAATTAACCAACCATTTGCTGAGTGAATGTGATCATAAAAGAAAATTTAAGAGATGCCCAAAATGCAAAGAAGCTATTCTTTTGAGTGGTTATGATAAGTAAATTATCTAATAAAATTAGGCATTTAGAAGATTGTAGAGGTAGAAATGATAATATAACTGTGAGATGTCCTTTGTGTCATTTAGATTTGAAATTAGAAAAGAATACATGGAAAAATCATTTGATTAAACAAGGATGTCAAAATAATGAAAGAACTGCAGGTTGATCTTATTATACATCAATTTTATACTCAATATTTATTTAAATCAATTTCTATTTTAATTCAATTTTTTCAATTTGATTTCATCTAATAATATATATTATCTAGATATCAAAATTTGATACATAAATATTTATTAACTTTCATAAAGTATATATGAAGAAAGAAAGAAGGCTTAAATTTTCGAGAAATTTACTTTATTAAATTAGAAGTAGATTTAAATTGCTTTCTTCCAATCTCTTTAGTAATATCAGATTCAACCAAAAGTATTAACAATAAAACAACTTCAAAGAGTACTATATGAAAATTAAGAAAAATTAGTTTTTATAGAAGCTGATTTATAAAACTATTCGAAATCTTCTTTGTTTACTGAATCTATTAGATTTTCAAATCTTAATAATACTAAATAATTAACTTTAAAATTTGAAGGGCAAAGTATTA